TCCACTACACTTCACTACATTACACTACACTACACTCCACTACACTACAACTACAACTACGACTACACAACTACACTCCACTACACTCCACTACACGAAATTACACTACACTACACTACATTACACTACATTACACTACACTACATTCCACTGCACTCCACTACACTACACTACATTACACTACACTACACTACTACACTGAATAACACTGCACCACAGATAGACAGGTAGACAGATAGACAGATAGACAGACAGACAGACAGACAGATAGATAGACAGCTAGACAGCTAGACAGATAGACAGATCGAAGAGAGAGGGAGAGAGAGAGAGAGAGATAGATAGATAGATAGATAGATAGACAGATAGATAGATACATAGAAGATAGGCTGGTAGGTAAGTAGATAGTCAGAGAAAGAGAGAGAAAGAGAGGAGACCTCAAGCACCTTTCAGTCCATCAGTGGATTCGCTCTGCCATCCCTGATTCACAACAGCCAATCTCTCCTATAGGTTTCCTATTTTTGAAACTTCCGCCACCGCCTTGTGCGGTACTACTGGTAAGAATTGCATCCCGTAGGCTCCAAACAGTTATTCCATATCCATTGCAGCGTCTGTGTGCATGTTTATGGTTAAACTAGCTCCTGGTGCTGGCAATTGTTGATCCATGGCACTTGAGAACAGCATGAATCACAGGCAACACATGCCATTTGTATCTGAGACAATGAAACGGAGACAAGGTAGGAGTCAAGTGGGAGACAAGGTAGGAGACAAGTGGGAGAGAAGTGGTAAAACGCAAAAAAATGGTGAAACATGATTTTATCTTGAGGCAGCAAGAAGACACAAAGGGAGTAAACAACAGAGACAAACCCGAAGCACGAATGAAATCATGCTGAAACTAGAACAGGACACCGCCACTAAGGCAGACATATGATCGGAGACAAATGAAGTAGGAGACAGATGGTGAGAGACAGATGATGACAAGGCGATAAAGCCCGACACCACCACAAAGGCAGACCCGTGACTGGAGACAAATTAATTGGGAGACCAACAAGATGGGAGACACATGGAAAAAGACACCTGATGAGAGACAAGTGAAAGCAAAGAAAAGACATCCGAAGATCCGGATGCCACTAGACAGAGCGGGAGACAAATGAAGGGACACAAGTGAAGAGACACATCCACCAAACTGGGAAACAAATGTAGGGAGACAAGTGAAGACAAACAGCCGGGCACCACCAGCCAGTCAGACTGGGAGACAAATGAGCTGGGAGACATCCGAAGAGCCGGACACCATGAGCCAGATTGGGAAACAAACGTAAGGAGACAAGTGAAGACAAACTGCCGGGCATCACCAGCCAGTCAGACTGGGAGACAAATGTACTGGGAGACATCCGAAGAGCCGGACACCATGAGCCAAATTGGGAAACAAATGTAGGGAGCCAAGTGAAGACAAACAGCCGGGCACCACCAGCCAGTCAGACTGGGGGACAAATGAACTGGGAGACATCCGAAGAGCCGGACACCATGAGCCAGATTGGGAAACAAATGTAGGAAGACAAGTGAAGACAAGCAGCCGGGCACCACTAGCCAGTAAGACTGGGAGACAAATGAACTTGGGAAACAAATGTAGGGAGACAAGTGAAGACAAACAGCCGGGCACCACCAGCCAGTCAGACTGGGAGACAAATGAACTGGGAGACATCCGAAGAGCCGGACACTATGAGCCAGATTGGGAAACAAATGTAGGGAGACAAGTGAAGACAAACAGCCGGGCACCACCAGCCAGTCAGACTCACATCCACCTTCGTTTTGCGTGGCAGGCGTGGCACTTATGGCACTGGGCTGGCTCTGGTGGCACAGTGTGGCGCGCTTGGGCGCGCTTGGGCGCGCTTGGTCGCTGGTTACGCCGCTCAACTTTGCGTGGCAGGCGTGGCACTTGGCGACATCTTCCTTGGTTTTGCGTGGCAGGCGTGGCACTGGGCGACATCTATCTTCGTTTCGCGTGGCAAGCGTGGCACTTATGGCATCGGGCTGGCTCTGGTGGCGCGCTTGGGCGCGCTTGGTCGCCGGTGACGCCGCTCAACTTTGCGTGGCATGCGTGGCACTTGGCGACAAGAATCTTCGTTTCGCGTGGCAAGCGTGGCACTTGGCGGCATCTATCTTCGTTTTGCGTGGCAAGCGTGGCACTTGGCGACATCTACCTTGGTTTGGCATGGCAGGCGTGGCGCTTGGTGACAGCATGTGACAGCCACCTTCGTTTTGCACGGCAGGCGTGGCCCTTCGTGACATCCACCTTCGTTTTGCGTGGCAGGCGTGGCACTTGTGGCACTGGGCTGGCTCTGGTGGCGCGCTTGGGCGCGCTTGGTTTGCCGGTGACGGCGCTCAACTTTGCGTGGCAGGAGTGGCACTTGGCGACATCCACCATCGTTTCGCGTGACAGGCGTGGCACTTGGTGACATCCACCCTCGTTTTGCATGGCAAGCGTGGCATTGTGCACTTGGTGGCGCGTTTGGTCGCCGGTGACTCCGCGGTGCTTTGGGCGGCAGGCGTGGCACTTGGCGGCATCTATCTTCGTTTTGCGTGGCAAGCGTGGCACTTGGTGACATCTACCTTTGTTTTGCGTGGCAGGCGTGGCACTTATTGCACTTGGTGGCGCGCTTGGGCGCGCTTGGTCGCCGGTGACGCCAAGTGGCAGGCGTGGCACTTGGTGACATCCACCTTCGTTTTGCGTGCCAGGCGTGGCACTTATGGCACTGGGCTGGCTTTCACACACCACTTTGTCACCCACCATCTTTGACACACCATCTTTCACACCACTTTGTCACACACCATCTTTCACACACCGTCACAGACCATCTCTCACACACCATCTTTCACACACCACGTTGTCTTACACCATCTTCCACCACACACCATCTTTCACACACTGTCACAGACCATCTCTCACACACCATCTTTCACACACCACTTGTCTCACACCATCTGCACCACACCATCCTTCACACACCACTTTGTCACACACCATCTTTCACACACAACTTTCTCACAAGCTCTCTTTCACACACGCCATCTTTTACACACAACTTTGTCACACACCATCTTTCACACACACAACTTTGTCACACACCATCTTTCTCCACACCATCCTTCACACACCCCTTTGTCACACACCATCTTTCACACACAACTTTCTCACAAGCTCTCTTTCACACACGCCATCTTTTACACACAACTTTGTCACACACCATCTTTCACACACACACAACTTTGTCACACACCATCTTTCTCCACACCATTTTTCAGACACCACTTTGACACACACCATCTTTCACACACAACTTTCTCACACGCTCTCTTTCACACACAATTTTTTCACACGCCATCTTTCACACACAACTTTGTCACACACACACACCATCTTTCTTTGTCACACACCATCTTTCACACACAACTTTGTGACACACAACTTTGTTTTACTTCTCGATCCTCCACCACCTCCTTTGTCTTTCCTTCGTTCCCCGTCCCCGCTACAACATTTGGTGCTCATTATTGGAAGAAGTTGCCTTGTGGGGTTATCCGGTCCTTTCATCTTGGAACTGATCAAATCTGATCTTTGGGGATGTTGAGGCGAACTCCGAGTCTTTACCCTGGGGAAGCGCGTAGTAACTTTGGAGGCTGGCACTTGTCCTAGCTGTGGAGTCAAAAGTCTGAGTCTAGGGATCTGGCCATGAAGGGGAAGTCGCTCACTTTAAACTGGCAGAAATCGCTGGCCCATCCCCAATGAAGGAGGCCATCAAATTTTGGGCTTGCCAATGTTCAAAACACACCCTGGCCTTGGGCCAACAAATCGGGGTCTCAACAGGGATCACGCAATGTCTTGGAGTTTATCAGCTTGTCGAACCACAGGAGTCACTAGAGTTACCATATCGATTGCTTGTCGATTCAAATGAGCTCCCCATCGCTCTTGGTAGTGGCAGCAAGTGGGGTCTCAAACTGACTCAAAGTTATTAAACCTCCATTGATGGCGAATTTGAAATGTTTGAAATTTGGGTTTTCAGGACATAAAATGACCCCTTTCGCTCTTTTAGGTAGCATGTTTGAACCAAAAGCCTTGTGTCAAAAAAACACCAAAACCTTCACGCACCGTGCGCACCTCTGTAATCAGCACCTGGCCATGGGGCTGTTCCCAGGCTGACAAGGTGAGTCCAAGATCACCCTCAAGTGACATGAACATCTGGAGAAATTGACAGCTGTTATCAACCATTAACAACCAAGACATTGATACAACAATTCTCATTAACAATCATCATCAACCATGATTCAGCCATTGTTCAACTAATAATTAACGTCTTGAGGGTTGGTGATGAAGTGACAGCTATGGAAGAAGTATTATCAATCAACCTCATGATCGACTGGGGATCACGGTCACGGAAGTTATCGTATGTGCCATTGTCAAGTTGCGACTGGTTGCGAGTGGTTCCATCCCATAATCGGAATTTAACCATCCTGGAGGTATAATTCTCCATGGTAATTTCTTGCAATTTGCGAAGTATTAGCATGTTTAATTCGATCATTTATCGAAAGTGGGAAAAAGGTTCATCCATTTTCCATATCCATGTAACTCAAATTAGCTGAGGCTATATCTCCCAGAATGGAAATCCAACCGAATCTCTTTGCTATCATGCCCTATTCATGTGGGCTTTTCATGTGGGTAAAACAATGTCATAAACCACCATGACTGGGAATGGTAATGATACCACCTATAAAAATGGTACCCTGTGGTAAACTAACATAACTATGGAAAATCACAATTTTTAATGGGAAAACTCACTATTTCTATGGCCATGTTCAATAGCAAACTGTTAGTTTACCAGAGAGTAAATGCCATTAGAATCACCATTTTTGTTGGTATTAGACCCCATTAAACCACCATTAAAATGGTAATGACTGGGGGATGGTTTATTGCTTTACCCACAGTTTGAAAGGTCTTCTGCGACGTCTCGCCTCGCCAAAGTCGCTCAGGGAGGGCGATGTGACGGCCCACATGGCTTTGAATTGGCCTTCCTTCTCTGGCAGCAGCACTGGCACCTACCACGGTAGTACGTTTTCGGTTTTTCGCAGCAGATGGTGATTTTGGTGAGGATTTTTGTTTCGAGATGGAAAAGGGTGGACACTGATGGAAAATCTACTGTAGTTCCACTAAAATTCAGAAAATCTACTGTAGTTCCACTAAAATTCAGAAAATCTACTGTAGTTCCACTAAAATTCAGAAAATCTACTGTAGTTACTGTAGATTGTTTAATCAGAAATATCAGAGGTTCACAAGAAGTTCTGTAGCTGGGGGCTTGCCCCGCCTCCACCTCGACAGTCATGCCTTGGAAACGGGCTAAAAAGACATGTTGGATCAGGATTTTCAGGGCTCCAACTGTTGTTCCAACATATTTCCAACTTTCCTATCCCATATCATCCATGTATGGTATATATGCTAACATAAAGGGGGTATATTGATGGGATCCATGTTACCATATATAGCATACATGGATCCTATGGGTATATGAAAATGTCCTATTTCTATGTGGATGCATCGTATGTTTCTACATTGATTGGAACATCTAGGAACCGCTTGAAACAGTTTCACAGTCAAGCCAGCTCAATGACTTCGTTTTCAAATCTTTCAGAGTTCTGCGCTTCCCAAGTTTGGCATCAAAAATCGTTGGAACCCAACTGATGACTTGTGCAAACTATTTTTTGTGAAGCACATTGGCATAACATTGCCCTTTATCCACAGCCAAGTTTTTTTAAAGCGCCTGCAGGTACTTCCTCAGGCATTTCGATGCTGCATGGCAAATTGGCAAAGCCCGGAGTGTTGTAGAACAGCTGGCAGCAGGCGTCCCTGAGAATTCGAAAGCTCTGCGCAGAGAGCGCACCACTTTCATTCAGTTGGAAGATTCATCGCAATGTGAGTGAAATAGACAAATAAGAACCACTGCTTTCTTTCAAAATCTACCTTCTAATAGAATCTATATAAACCCACCTCAACTCAAGTTCATCATTTCATAGAATCAAGTTGGTTATCCCAGTTAACCCATATGAAATACATGAAGTCCTCCTGAAATCCCCAACCTCTGGCAGCCCCCTGAGCTATCTGAGGTCCCCCACTTCGGCCAACTGACCTTGCTGATGTTGGCCAGTGTCCAACGCATCATCTTCACTTCACCCTGCAGCCCCTCGACACCTTGGGGCCAATTTGGGGCCCAAGAAATGCATCTTCGGAACATTTCGGAACGCTTGGAACACATCCATTCTTAGGAAGGAGCTCAGTCGTACATCTCATGGCAAATCTCGACATTTTGATGAAATCTTGGGGGTGTCTTGCCATGAAATTCAGCCAGTTTCAGCATGTTTCAGCCCATAAAATTCCCAGTCAGAACTAGATTTGGAAAAATCCTGGGATGACATGCCAAAAAGCCATCGCAACATATCGCAGTCTGTCACCGGTCTGGCATCCAAGAAACAGGTCTCAGGAGCCTGCGCAGATCATCCCACATCATCCCACATCATGTATTGTAAATCCAGAATAATATCCAACATATATATATATGTGTATTATGTATATATTATATATATATAATATATCCATCTTAAGTGGTTGGCTTCTGATCACCATCCCACCTTCAGGATGACGCAAATGGGACTCTCCACCTCCGTTTTTTCCACCCGGAATTGCAGGAGATCCCCAAAGGGCTGGCCGCCGGGTGTCACCAAGGCGTAGGCCACTTCCACATCATCCTGAAAAATAGACCATGGATGACCATGGCGTAGGTGTTCTGGGAAAGATCCATCTGTAAAACTGGGGTTTAATGGTGGTTTAATGAGGATAAAACCCTTAGCCCTTATGTATAATATTGTATAATTTTATGGGTACCACGAGTATGATGAAGAAACTGAGATCATAGCTCTAAGTTCATTGGAAATCCAACAGTTGTCCACTTACCCACGTGTCCTAGAAGAACCCTCCCCAAAAAAAAACTTTTATTTTTTTAATATCTAAGTCATCTAAGTCTAAGTTCATCAAAAAATATCGAATCTAAGTCATCCCAAAAACACTCTCCGATACTTCACGGATTTCCCATATTTTCCAGAAAAAAAAATCCCCCAGCGGTGCGATCCCATCAGCTCCTTGTCAGAGACCAGTTCCAGCTCCATCTCCACGGTGAGGCCAGGTGAGGCACTCGGAACCTCCAGGATGGGTGCGGCAACCATTGGGCCAGACACCAAACCTGGCGGAACATCTGGGGAAATGATGGGAAATGGTACTGAACATGCTGGGAAAATGCTGGGAAAATGCTGGGAAAATGCTGGGAAAATGGTGAAAATGCTGGGAAAATGGTGGAAATTGGATGGATTTCAAGGAAAACTTCGAAAGTGTCCTGCTTTTTAGCATCAAAGTTGGGGAATGAAAGCCCCTTTGATGTGTTGAGATCACCAATTCAGTCGGACAGCAACCTGGAGCATCATGGAGCCTCAAGCACTGCCTATGGGGATTCCGATTCCGGAATAAACCAAGGAGTTGGTTAGAAATATATACAGTATACATATGTATATAATATATATATATATAATATAGTAATAATTGTTGTAATCGTAATATTATCATTAATTCTTCTTAACTATTATTATATTATCAATTATTATTTATCCGCCGACCCCGGCCTTCGCCAAGGCAGGGGCGGCGCCTGGGACCACCGGAGGTGTGGAACCTGCTTTGTCACGGCCATGGCCTTCACATTGTCCAAGGCTTCCACCCAGGCCTGTGGCCGTTTGGCCTTGACATTGTCCAAGGCTTCCACCCAGGCCTGTGGCCGTAAGCCTCGCCTGCATAGCTCCCTTCAAATGCTTAAACTGCTCCGCCGGCCTTTGCACCAAGCCCTGTGGCCGCGAGCCCCTGCTGTTCCAGCGTTGCAGCCTGCCGTTTGCCTGCACATAGCCTCTGTTCTTCGGGCGTTCAAGCCTGCCGTTTGCCAGCTTCAAACTTTACAACGCTTAAAATGCTCCGCCGGCCGGTTGCACCAAGCCCTGTGGCCGCGAGCCCCTGCTGTTCCAGCGTTGCAGCCTGCCGTTTGCCTGCACATACACTCTGTTCTTAGGGCATTCAAGCCTGCCGTTTGCCAGGCTTCAAACCCTTAAAATGCTCCAAATGCTCCGCCGGCCGGTTGCACCAAGCCCTGTGGCCCCTGCCGTTTGCGTGCACATAGCCTCTGTTGTTAGGGCGTTCAAGCCTGCCGTTTGCCAGGCTTCAAACCCTTAAAATGCTTATAATGCTCCGCCGGCCTTTGCACCAAGCCCTGTGGCCGCGAGCCCCTGCTGTTCCAGCGTTGCAGCCTGCCGTTTGCCTGCACATAGACTCTGTTCTTAGGGCATTCAAGCCTGCCGTTTGCCAGGCTTCAAACCCTTAAAATGCTCCAAATGCTCCGCCGGCCGGTTGCACCAAGCCCTGTGGCCCCTGCCGTTTGCGTGCGCATAGCCTCTGTTGTTAAGGCGTTCAAGCCTGCCGTTTGCCAGGCTTCAAACCCTTAAAATGCTTATAATGCTCCGCCGGCCTTTGCACCAAGCCCTGTGGCCGCGAGCCCCTGCTGTTCCAGCGTTGCAGCCTGCCGTTTGCCTGCACATAGACTCTGTTCTCAGGGCATTCAAGCCTGCCGTTTGCCAGGCTTCAAACCCTTAAAATGCTCCAAATGCTCCGCCGGCCGGTTGCACCAAGCCCTGTGGCCCCTGCCGTTTGCGTGCACATAGCCTCTGTTGTTAGGGCGTTCAAGCCTGCCGTTTGCCAGGCTTCAAACCCTTAAAATGCTTATCCGCCGACCCCGGCCTTCGCCAAGGCAGGGGCGGCGCCTGGGACCACCGGAGGTGTGGAACCTGCTTTGTCACGGCCATGGCCTTCACATTGTCCAAGGCTTCCACCCAGGCCTGTGGCCGTTTGGCCTTGACATTGTCCAAGGCTTCCACCCAGGCCTGTGGCCGTAAGCCTCGCCTGCATAGCTCCCTTCAAATGCTTAAACTGCTCCGCCGGCCTTTGCACCAAGCCCTGTGGCCGCGAGCCCCTGCTGTTCCAGCGTTGCAGCCTGCCGTTTGCCTGCACATAGACTCTGTTCTTAGGGCGTTCAAGCCTGCAGTTTGCCAGGCTTCAAACCCTTAAAATGCTTAAAATGCTCCGCCGGCCGGTTGCACCAAGCCCTGTGGCCCCTGCCGTTTGCGTGCACATAGCCTTTGTTGTTAGGGCGTTCAAGCCTGCCGTTTGCCAGCCTTCAAACCCTTACAATGCTTAAAATGTTCCGGCGGCCGGTTGCACCAAGCCCTGTGGCCGCCTCTGTTGTTACGGCGTTCAAGCCTGCCGTTTGCCAGGCTTCAAACCCTTAAAATGCTTAAAATGCTCCGCCGGCCGGTTGCACCAAGCCCTGTGGCCGTGAGCCCTTGCTGTTCCAGCGTGGCAGCCTGCCGTTTGCCTGCACATAGCCTCTGTTGTTAGGGCGTTCAAGCCTGCCGTTTGCCAGCCTTCAAACCCTTCAAATGCTTAAAATGCTCCGCCGGCCGGTTGCACCAAGCCCTGTGGCCCCTGTAGTTTGCGTGCACATAGCCTCTGTTGTTAGGGCGTTCAAGCCTGCCGTTTGCCAGCCTTCAAACCCTTACAATGCTTACGATGTTCCGCCGGCCGGTTGCACCAAGCCCTGTGGCCGCCTCTGTTGTTAGGGCGTTCAAGCCTGCCGTTTGCCAGGCTTCGAACCCTTACAATGCTTACAATGCTCCGCCGGCCGGTTGCACCAAGGCCTGTGGCCGTGAGCCCTTGCTGCTCCAGCGTGGCAGCCTGCCGTTTGCCTGCACATAGCCTCTGTTCTTAGGGCGTTCAAGCCTGCCGTTTGCCAGGCTTCAAACCCTTCAAATGCTTAAAATGCTCCGCCGGCCGGTTGCACAAGCCCTGTGGCCGTGAGCCCCTGCTGTTCCAGCATTGCAGCCTCTCGTTTGCCTGCACATAGCCTCTGTTGTTAGGGCGTTCAAGCCTGCCGTTTGCCAGCCTTCAAACCCTTATAACGCTTAAAATGCTCCGCCGGTCGGTTGCACCAAGGCCTGTGGCCGTGAGCCCCTGCTGTTCCAGCGTTGCAGCCTGCCGTTTGCCTGCACATAGCCTCTGTTGTTAGGGCGTTCAAGCCTGCCGTTTGCCAGCCTTCAAACCCTTAAAACCCTTAAAATGCTCCGTTGCCAGCCTTCAAACCCTTAAAACCCTTCAAACCCTTAAAACCTCTAAAATGCTCCGAATCCCTCGCGGCAGCTTCCACCAAGCCCTCCTGTAAGCCTTTGCTGTTCCAGCGTTGCAGCCTGCAGTTTGCCTGCGTTTGCCTGCATAGCCCTCTGTTGTTATGGCGTTCAAGCCTGCCGTTTGCCAGCCTTCAAACCGTTATTCAAACCCTTAAAACCCCTAAAACCCTCCAAATCCCTCGCGGCAGCTTCCACCAAGCCCTCTCTCTATCTCTCCCTCCCTCTCTCTCCCTCTCTCTACAGCACCCCCCAAATAGGGGGGGTCGGCGGCACCAGGGCGCTAGCCCATTCTATTACTATTATCATTAATTATGATTCTTCTTATCATGATGAATTATTCAAAATAATCAGTGTCCTATCAAAATCATCAAAATACCTGGCTTTCTATCTGCAAATATCTGGGGCTCCGGCGTAGGGTGGTTCCAGTGGGCCAGGCGACAGTTCCATCATTGGCCAACACCCAGCGAACAGCAGAGCCTGCGGTGGCTTGGGAAGGTCTGATTCTGGGGGAAAAGTTGAGATAAATCATTTGTTGATTATTATCAGTGGATCATGATTATTATTGAGGTATAATACCATGATAAATCTGGTCAAATAATCAGTTGATAAAAATCTGTTGACCAGATAAATCATGTATCTATATTTGACCTTCATGATAATCCATAGAAGATAAATCAAATCAAATCAAATCCATAATCATGCACGATAAATCCGTCACAATGCCATTTTGACTTGAAGAATTCAGACAGTTCACAACTTCTCTGGTCGAAATGAGACTGATATGGGGATGGGTCAAAACCCTGGTACCTAGTGAACCCCAAAATAGCTGGTAAATGGATGTTCATCCCACTAAAAATGGTCTTAATAGGTATTGATCCATACCCATATTCTAGAATCTTAGGAATGGTACGTGCCGATGCAAGTGATGTATTGAGGAGCTGATTTCTTCGGGTCAGATTATGACATTTTGTTTACAGAAGCGAAGGCACGTACTACATGAAACAGTCCCAAATCATCTGATCCAAACCAACCATTCGAAATTTCTGAACTTCAGATTCCCAACAGTTTTCCGTTCAACAGTTTTCCATTCAACAGTTTTCCAAAAAGCACTGGTTGGTGGTTGACCAAGCCCTCTGAAAATTGATGGAGTGAAAGTCAGTTGGGATGATGAAATTCCAAATATATCCCAGATGCTCCATGTATAGTATATTTACCTACAAAACTGGCTCATTTATGGCGTAAATGTTGGTAAATATTCCAGCACCATGGAGCATATGGGTATGGAAAATCATAAAAACCATGTTCCAAAGCACCAATCAGATATCTAAATAATGCTATTCAATATTGATATGAACATCAATTATGAATTATGAACCAAATATGAAATGGAGTATGATTCCCATATATGAAATGGAAAGTCATAAAATTCCATGGTTCCAGTCACCACCAACCAGATCAGTTTCTCCGATCCAAAGATCATCAAAGATCCCAAACTTCGCCTGGCTTCACTGCCTCGGTCAGGTCGCTGCCTCCGATCTGCTTGGAGCTCAACATGGCGACGTCGCGGTTAGGCGCGGCGCGGCGCTGCGTCAACGGTGTGCCACGGGACAGCACGGCGGACAGCACGGCTGAGCCAAAAAGGCCAGGGTCATGGGGAGAACTGAGAGAACTGAGAGATCTGAGAGGATGTGCCTGAGATTTCTGCTTGGAACATAGACTATTTTCTCGATTTTGAACCTGAATGTGGCTAGATGTGGCTAGAAATCAATATAAATCAATGAAGTCGGACGTTATTCTTGTTGATCTTAAGTTGATTTTGGGAGGCACGAAATCTCCATCCCGGGTTGACTCGGGAAATTCAAATCCAAGCGCCAAATCCAAGCGCCTTTGCAGTGAAGGCTCAGAGCCCATCGCCAGCACCTGAAGAGATTTTGCCCATCCCCAAATGTCATCCAACTGAGTAAAAAGCCTCATTGTTTTCATCCTTACTATGTGTTACTATCACTATGACTATCACTTTGACTGTTGACTACTATCAGTATGATATCATATATTCTTCTGTGTTATAGCTACATCTCATATAAAAACCCTTGGAATGCACCAAAATCCTCAACAAAAATCCCGAGAAAATCAGCTTCCTCACCTCACTAAGGAGCCGTTGACCCTCTTGAGGGTCTGATCCATGCATCGCATCCATGGCAGCCTGCGGGTCACAAGAAATGGGATGAACATGGGATGAGAATTGGTGATAAAATGGGGAATCTTGACATTGATTTTACAGATCAAGTGGTGAACATGCAAGATCCACTCTTACAATTAATTAATCATCCCAACATTTCTCCACATTTTTCGACCTAGAGGTCAGAGTTTCAGACACAAAAGAAGACCAAGCGCTGTCTTATGGCATTTTGCTTTGAAGCGCTTGATCCTTCAGGTTGGAAAGGATCATGCTATCAAATTACCCTCTGGTAAACTAACAGTTTGCTATTGAAAATGGCCATAGAAATAGTTGATATTCCCATTAAAAATTGGTGGATCTTTCCATAGTTTTTTGTATGTTTACCAGAGGGTATCAGGCGATCCTCAAATCTCAGCGAACTCAAAAAATGGATGTGGCATCCCAGGAACCGGTTGCCTCCATCATGGAAGAAGACCTTCGCCTGAGCAGTGGGTGGAACTAGCTGGGTGGAACTAGCTGGGTGGAACTAGCTGGGGATAAACAACGCAGGTGACCCAATCCAATCATCTCCTGGAGATTGAGTGCTTATTAGTAACCTAACCAATCATTAGTAACCACCAAACATCGCAGAAAAGTAACTTAAGTTCTTTTTTCCTTCGGCACCTTTCCTGGGTTTCATCGTTTCATCTCCGACGTTCCTAGGTGCTCCTGCACAGCATCCTGCAGGAAATTGCTTTTCTCATCAGTCCTCAGGCCACGGGGTGCCAAAAAGGTTTTGGGACTGTGCAGAATGGCCACTTTTTGATAAAAATAACCATAGTAATTTAATTGTAATTTAATGGTAACTTAATGGTGGTTAATGGTGGTTAATGGTGGTTAATGGTGGTTAATGATGGTTAATGATGGCAATTGAATGGTAATTTAATGGTGATTTAATGGCTTTGCTTGAAAATGGCATAAAATGGCTGACAGCGTACTATTCCACTTATTCCACTTATTCCCTGAAAGTTTCCCTTGCTTATCATCATTCAAAATGACCATTTTAGGATACCCTTTCAGAGATGCCCATATCTGCCGTATTGAAGAGCCCACTTTTGAGTGTCAACGTTAAGCTCTGGCCATGTCCAACTTGTCCAACTCCAAATCTTAGGCACTTCCTGAGGCAAGGACTCGATATCTGGCCTCAACGGCACACCGGTGTGCCTGGCATCCGACAAGGGCCCAACTTCTATGACCGTCCCACAGCACACGGAGCTTCTTTCATGGTTCCTTGCCTTTGAGCAGCCATCATGATATGATATGAGGCTGTTCATTGACAAGCCCCAGGGCTGAGACAAAAAACGAGACTGTGCCAACTTGACAATCATGCCGGACTGCCAGTGGCATTTCTATGCATTTCTTAGATTTTGTATTCTTTGGTCGAATTTCATACATTTCATTTCAAAGTGAGACTGAGTCTGCGGTTCTGCGGTGTGTCATCAGATGATCCCGTGTCCAGTTCTGTTGAGAAGGCAACTCACAGCCTCTTGGACACCATCTTGGACAACGTGGAAGAAAGGGATCCACCACCAGAGAGGCATCTTTGGATGCAAGAATGCCTCCCAGCCAAGACTCTTGTAGAGCTCCAGTGCAGATGATAGCCACACGACCGTGCCAACATCCGTCCAGCGACAAGCCGACATACCGACGAGTTTAGTCTCCTCATCTGCAGTGTTCTTAACTCGGTGCCAAGACCAAGGTGGGTTGTATAGAGAGAATCACCTGGTTCTAAGACCACACGACTCTTGGGATTTTTCAGTCATACATGGCGTCCACGATTTCGTGAGGCGTGGTCAAATATCCAAAGCTCATGCTGCCTGGAGGAAATTTCGGGCGATGATGTCCCAGGTCTTTGGATCCATGGTAAACGGACACGAAGTTCGTATTCTCAATGAACTTCAATCCTTCACCCCCCATTCACATTTGGAGACAAAGAATGGCAGCCTTTGTGAAGATGTTCGTTCGACCTAAGACATCTCATCAAAGGCCACAGCATAGCCATGGCCCACAGCCATGACCGCCATGACCTTGTTGGATTTCATCGAAAAGTCACCTCTTTCAAGGTGGATTTGTGACAGAATGCCTGGATTCATCAAGATTTCCACATTGAAATCCTTGTGGATTCAGAGTACCTCTCAACATCTCTCAACCCATTCTGCTCTGCCTCCAAAGAAGCCTCCTTGGACAATCAAGGCTTTTCGCCCACCTGGATCTCCGGAATTTGTTCAAAGCTGGGCTCCAGGCCCTCTCTGCAGCTACTTGTGAGAATCAAGAGCTGTTCTTGGAAGGCAGGAATCTCATGGGCAACCACAAATGCAGCAGGACCATGCGATTCTCGGAAGAGGAGCGGCGCAAGCTGGCGAAGGCAAAGCCAAGAAAAGAATCAGGAAGGCACTGCGCACATGGAGTTTCACCCGTTTCACCCGTTTCACCCGTTTCACCCGTTTCACCCGTTTCACCCGTTTCACCCGTTTCACCATCACAAATCAGGCAGCTCTGGTGATCACACATCACACATTTCACAATCAAAGAGAGTCTGATACATCCAGTATAGTACCCTCTGGTAAACATACAAAAAGCTATTGAACATAGTCATTTATAGTGGATTTACCCATAAAAATTGGTGATTTTCCATAGTTTTTTGTATGTTTACCAGAGGGAAACCGAGATCTTCAGCGGATTTGAGAGATACAAACATGTAAAGACTTCTGAAAACAGCTAAAAACTGTTGTTTTTTTTTGTTCCGTAAAACCACAAGCAGTTTCCGATCTTCGTTCTACAGTGATTCTGCTCACCTGCCTTAGAATGACCTTTCGGAGTGGGAGGCTCGAAGAAGGCGGACAGTAGGAGTTCAGGATCTCCTGACATCATGTCATGGCAGGCATCGCTGGAAGGGGGCATAGTTTCAGCATAGAAATTATGGATGGTTTTAACTCATGTTTCTACAACTTAAGAGCATATCAAACAAGATCAAACAAGATCAAACAAGATCAAACTCATTCTCTGATTTCTCATATTTCTCTGCTCTCACCCATTCTCACCCTATCACCATCAAAAACCATCCTGGTTCTCATGAATGTCACGGAGGGCGCGCATTAGCAAAACCTCCAGTCGTGACGACGTCGCTGCAGTCATGGATTCATGGGCTGTCGCTGGAAAAAAATTCTCCGATTTTTAGGGATGTAAAAAAAACCGAAAGAAATCCCTAGGTGTAGTTATTAATTATCCCTCTATGTGATGTTTTTCTGTTGCTATCCCTAAATCTTCCACTGTGGGGGTTGATTCAGAAACTGATCTTTGTTTGAATTGAAACTTGCGGGTGGCTAGGCTTCGCGATGACCAATGCCTCCAAGATATAAGCCGTTTCCGGAACTTTCTGCGAATATCTGCAGACTAGTTCTATTGAGTTCTATTGAGTTCTATTGAGTTCTATTGAGTTCTATTGAGTTCTTGATGATCATGCCAATGATGGGCCATCATTCAATTCCATGAAATTTGATAGTGGAACAGAGCAGATTCTGTCGGAGAACAGCATCACCACAAAACATCACAACAGCAACCGGCTTGGCAGATTCTGTCGACTCGGAATGGATTTTTCGCCTCTCCGATGAAGACGCTTGAGCAGTTTGCATCGATTGGATCGGCATGGTTCATATAGGCCTCCAGCTATCTCCAGCTATCTCCAGCTATCGATGAAAATCATGGCAGCTGTGACAATCTGTGACATACTTCAAACTCAATACCTGCAGCCCACCAAAACAAGGTATATCTTTATAGTATCTGAATTACGGAAGCGTCTTCTTAAATGTCTTCAAAAATCCTGGAGACCAGTTGAAAATCCACGAAATCCTCGAAGTTTGGGAGTCTTGGCACTGTCCCATTCCCATAAATTCCCACCTGCCATTGCCACAAACCAAGTCCTCTTTGTTCATCTTTTGGCCAGCCCTTAGTGGACCAGGGTCCACCAGCTCAGTTCCAAGCTGTTCCCAATCTGCAGCTGGGCTGCGTGGGCATTCACCGCAATGATGCGAAGAACCTGACGACATGCGCTGAGATATACGTTGAAATCATGGACCTGGACCTTTAAAAAATACCTTCAGATTGTATGTTGCTTATTGTTGATATGTTGATCATCTGTTGATCATCTGTTGATTATTGTTGATTATTGTGGATTGTTAATCATCTAAGATACCTGGATTTATTTTCCCTAACTATGCCTACAACACTATACCAGATGGCTTCCAACAGCCAAGGCTGGGGGCCGCTCCTGCTGTCGCACATCACGCACATCACTGCGCGCACGCTTCCTGGTCGAGTCTGATCGTCCACAAGAAAAAAATCATGGAAAAGTTGACCTCCCAAAATGCTGTTGAAATCTTTTGAACTTCACCTGCTTTGTTGGTGGTGTTCATGTTTTCTTTAAGTTTATATATAAGTATATATATATATTTATTTATTATTTATTTGTTCCAAGTAGAATGAAAAATGTCGTTCTTCGTCACTGCAACTTTCGAACTACAGCTCTATCCTCAGCGGGACACTTGGCCTCGGCATAGATCCACCACCTGTCCCGTCGTTTTGCACGGTTTCCGCATGTGGACTGGTTGTGGACTGGTTGATATGTTGACAGTCAAGTGAGTTAACATGAGTTAACCATAATGTTCATTAGATAACCATAGTTAACCAAAAAGTGAACCCTGAAAACATTGTTTAACTCAAACACCATAGTTAACCGTTAACCATAGATAACCATAGATAACCATAGTTAAATCCAGTGTGAACCTTCTGCCACCCAAAAACAGCCGTAAAAACATCTGCCGTAAAACAGCCTGAACTCAAGCTCCAAAACTTCGCAGCAAAGGCTTCATCTGCGGTGAACGTTTAACGAACGACGGTGACCCCCACTGTGAGATCCAACGTGAATTGATTGGTTTTTTTGACATATAAAATCCATGGTACCCAACAAAATGGGGATAGGATGGTATAGGTTATAGATGGACAATAAGTGTCTTGTCATACCCCCCAAAAGATGGTCAAGTGGTAAATGGGAAGGTTAGTTTTTTTATTGTTGGCTTCAACACTACTCCAGAATTTCAGGGACACCAAATTCAGATGTCGGGGTGTCACTGGCTTTGGGCAGAGAAAGGCGATTCCAAAAAGTCTCCTCGGTTTCTCAAATCCCCATGTTTGGTCGGAAAAACACCGCTTTTATTGGTCAAATAACCTTTTTTGTAGGCCAAATCACCTTTTTCATTGGTCAATTTGCATTTGTTTGTTGGTAAATCACCACTCTTGTTGGTAAAATTCCTGTATTCTAGGTCAACTCCCAACTCCCTCAACTCCCCTCAACCCCTCCACCGCACCTGCTAAGCGTTCCAAGATCACATCGGCTAATGAGTCAGCCAGGGCGTCCTGGTGGACCTGGGTGGCCCGGCAAATATGGACTAAACTAACTTTAATAATAAGAATGGACTAAAATTATGGCTTGGGGTAGTGGTTGATGCGGTTCATGGTTGAAGAATTGATGAAAATCCGGGCACTTTCGTAAAGAGTTGATGAATTATCCAAAATGATGCAAAATCAACACTGGTTGGTGTTATACCTACCCCTCTGAAAAATGATGGTGATGAAATTCCCAATATCTGGAAAAATAAAAAATCTAAAAAATGTTCCAAACCACCAATCAGATAAGAATGGACTAAAATTATGGCTTAAATTAGTAATAATCAAGAATAATCAAGAACAATGAAGAACATATTGCATTGTAGTCAAATGAAAACAAAAGAAAAAGCTCAAGACATCTTCGAATCAGGAATGTTTTATTAGAGATCCATGAAATCATTCAAATCTATACACTTGGCAAAAAAAGTGGCAGCCCTGAGAACGGCGCTCCTTGCACTGCTGCCAAGGGAGGCGATGCCAATAGCAGCTCTCCACGGGCGAGGCACCTGGAACCATCTGGAAGCCTAAGAAACATTGTCTGGGGAAACATCTGAGGGCCTGTGGGCCAACCAAGGCCCAAAAAACATCCCTACACATGAGAAGCATGACACTACAAAGAGCCACTTCAGCGCTTGCTGAGGAGCCAAATCCGGAGTAGAACAAAACGCAAAGTGCACGATGCATCACTGCCGAATGGAGTTGGAGTTGCCGACAGATTTTATCAGATTTTATCAGATGTGAGATGCCAGTTGTGAATTCTTGGTTTGAGCTTGAATTCCAATCAACTTTGAGGTCACAAAACATGAGTTCAGAAGCTCCCCAAATTTGGCGCCCAGCTGACCCAGCTGACCCATCGGTCGACCGTCTCAGTTTCGGCCCTGGTTTTTCGGCCCTCGTTCGCCTGGTGGTAAAAACGCCTTGACCACGAGATTCGTCGGGGCACTCTTTGCCTTATAGGTCATTCGTGTGGGTTCATAGTGCCATCGTCTCCTGGATCTCATGGATCCTGTCCTTGTTCCTATTTGATCTATAATATCTATTTAACTTTGAAACATCTCAAAATCCGCAATAAACATGGCAAACATCCGTTAAACATTAAAAAAAAATGGAGAAATTCACCCTATCCGGCCCTCAGAGGATCTCCCTGCGCAGGGAGCTGCCAAGTGATCTGAGGACATCGCGAATCAAGCTGGGATGCAGGTAGGGCGCTACAGCCTCGAAACTGGCCGCTGGACGTCCATCTTATGAAAGTGCGGTGCTCCCCAAAGTCAGGCTGCAGGTTTTTTTGGGGGAAAAAGGTGGGAAAATATATGAAATATTATGAAATCATATGAAATCCAGGGTCCTATGATGTGATCATCGAGCATGATGCAGTTGATGTGCAAAAACATCCAATCTATGAAAAGACATGGGAATAAGATAGTCGATCCCATCTGGTTACACGTGCTCAGCTTTGGGGGGATAAATCCTGGTGAGATTGACTTCGACAGAAGATGAGGATTCTGTTTCGAATATACCAAGGCCCAAAAGTAGATTACAGCCCCCTTCATACTTGGGTTTTTGCTACACCTGAGAGAATGAACACTTCTTCCGAATCCAAATGTACCATACTGATCCATACTGATCCATATACTGTGGCCACGTCCCAAAGCATTTCCACCATTTCCCCAACTCCCGGCATATCATGTCCAAGTCACGGCTATCTGTTGGATCTCGGCAGAGACTTCTGGACTTCGGCAACTCATAAGTCGCCATGCCGTCGATCCGGAATCGCTTGACGAGTGGTTCACGCGTAGAAGGGAAATGGGGATCCAAAGCCTATGGAAATCCCAAATTTTAGGGGATGAACATACATATTATAATTTTTCACTAACCTGAATTAAGGCCATTTGGGGATGATTTCCCTTATTAACCATGATTCCAGGGCTCGGTCGCAGTGAGGTCGTGATGAAATTTACCCAGATACATCAATTGCCATAAATCCCGGCTGTTTGCGGTTTTCCGCTGCGGAACTGGCTTTCTTTTACCATCAATTCGAAACATCTCGTGTTTTCCTCGAGAATCGGTGACTCGGTGCTAGATAGCACATAGCCAAGAAACGTCTGCGAAATGTGTAAAACGGCTGCAGATTGTTCAAGATCCAAAAGGCTCTGAAAACCAGATCTTTCTGGCAAAATCAAGAGTTTTGAAGTCAAAGATCCGGCTTAAAATCATCCAGCTTTTAAGACACATCCAATTGGTTTCTCCTCTCATGGACGATGGTGTGATGGTGCACCAAATTTCCGAGAAGTAGACGCCTAATTAGGGGTTGAAACATGTTGAAACCATAATTCCAGGATCTAAGAACCTATATCATCCACATTATCATCCTATAGATCTATTCCTCTATTCCATTCTATTCCTTTGGTGAAAGTCCCATATTCCCACCGGAGGCTTCCGAAATGGAGCTACATCCATGGTGACGACTGATCCAACGAATCACTGCCCGAGCTCCCGTACTTTGAAGGACGGCGGCGGCTCACCAGTGTTCCCCAAGCGGTACCACTCCATGCGGCGCTGCTTGTCCATGCGCCTCGCGCGCATTGGCAGAATTGGTCACTGGTTGGACCTAAACCACTTTTGGTTTGTAAATTCAAAACAACTTTTTGATTTTTGTTGATCTTAGATTGGAATCCAATCATCAAACATTGAGACTTCGTCTTCAAAAGGATAGGTCAAAGGGGGAGACAGATGGATCTGGCTCATAACTTTCCAACCATCAGGCACCTTCATAGTTTTATTGCTACCTGCTGTTGCTCAAAATCAATCCCGCCTGAGAGCATCGTCGTAAAGCCGATCAAAGCAAGTGTAGTCAGGATCTGCCATAGTCTTCCCCAACTTGGATACAGGCTGCAACTTTGGAGGTGGTTGGTGAGATTGAAAATGATTGGGGGCTGGAAAATACAGCCCCTCAGATGCCCCTCAAAGGCTAGATTGGGACCTGTGGGTGACTGGATACTTATGGCCATCAGATCTACAGTTTTGGGTTCCACTTTCCTGGTCCAAACAGATCCAATTGCTCCATATTGTTCCAGGATCTACTGATATCTACAGTCATGTCCTACCAAGCTGGTATCCAAAGTCTGGAAAACCGATCACCGATCCCATTTCTTGTTAAAGGACGGCTGTTTCAACAGCCATTGATCCATGGTTATTCGTTCATCTCCATTGGTTCTCAGATGTTCTCAGGAGCCAACACCAGCTTCTTCAAAGAGTTTCTTGATGACATCACCTGCCAGGAGATTGAAAAATGCCAGAAATTCTAGACTTTGAATGTGAAAACGGATGGATTGTTTTTTTTAATGAAGTCCAATCATATGTCCAATCCTACTATAATCATTGCATCACATTTGATCCTTTCCCTTTTACTTGAGCGCTTCTAAACATTTCACATTCCCACAACCAACAAATGATACCACATTTGAGATGTAAATATTCTCATATATTCCCATTGTTTAGGTGCATAGCATACTTTCCCATATCTAAAAAAGTGACCTATTATCAACCATACCTTGACCGAAAATACCAGAACCTATAAGAAAATATGATGCACACAGACACATCACTTTGAAAAAAAGAGAGAAACAGAAGGGCCCCCTCTCCAGGATGTATTAATGTGGTTCCCGCCATATAACCAGCTGTATTTATGTGGTTAAACCACCATTAGACCACCATTAAACCACCATTAAACCTAGAAAATACCAGCGATAGTTTCGCGGTTTCCCATGAGGATTTTCGACCATTTTCGACCAGTGACCCAAGCCCTTCTTCTCAGCCAGTTCCATGAGGATTCGGAGCTGCTCTCGAACCTGGGTGTTCATCTGGGTTTCGATACTGAACATGATATGATAACAGGTTATTTAACAGTTATATCCATGATCCATGGATATTATAAACCATCTATGATCTATACCCAAAATTATATGGCCATGGAAAATTACCTGGTATATTTACATGGCCATGGAAAATTACCTGGTATATTTACACATCTGTATATGGCCCAATGGCCCATTCATAGATGGTTATGACTAACAGTTACATATTATACACATGATATACCCTCTGGTTATAACACTTCGCCATGGTATAGATGGCCCATTCATAGATGGTTTACCTGGTTTACCTATTAAAAATGGTGATATGATACACTAAAGACGAGGTTCCTCGTACAGAGGAGTTTTTAACGATGAAATCACTGAGAGCAAACTGTTTGAAGCCAACCTGCTTCAGCAACTTCAGAAGACGAACTTGCTCCTCATTCAGCTTGTCGTTGTCCTCAGTCATGTGCGTTTATGACCACCCAGCTGAAATGCAAGGCTTCATCGAAACAGATGGAACGCCACCATGGTGTCGCAAATCTCTGGATGATTTTGGTTCGTCACCAGTTACAGTTTCCAGCCCCTCCAAAATCCCAAAGAGTCTTGTAAAAGTGTTGGCTGGATGGCTCCCAATTTTTTAAACGGCCATGTGTTTTCCAGCCCCTCCAAAATCCCAGTTTTAGTACTTAAAGTGTCATTTTCCAAAAACAACTGTTGGATGTCTCCCATGTATGGATCAAAACGTAGGAAATACATTGAAATAGCGTGGTTGGGTGAATGATCATCAATTTTACCAGCTATTTTCATGTGAATACAATGGTGAAATTTTTAGTGGGAAATCCCATGGTTTTGATGTGAATCAAAGTGGGAAATCCCATGGAGGCTGGAAACCAGCACCGCGCCGCGCCTCCTGCAGAGACGCAATCTGCTGATCCCGCTTCTTAAGCTTCGCCTCAGAGTTGAGATAGAACAAAAGTTGTGTTGGGAAAAATGGAAGTTTGATCAATGGGAATTTCAGGATCCGATTGAGGACGGAGGTACCGATTCCATATATGTTTGGCCTATTTTTTAGGCCTATGTCAGGGAATATACCCACAAAATATGGCCTGAAAAATGGTACAGTACCTCCATTTTAGGATCCTGGAGGGAAAATCATGGTGTGGGGAAAATGGGTGAAACATGTGAAAATGATTGGAAAATGATGGAAACATGGAGGTTTTTAGGTGGGAACGTCATCTATAAATTGGAAATGTTTCATGACTTTCCCTCAGGTCCGTTTCAAGAATCTTCAAAACAGCATAAAAAATGTCACTTTGAATCATTCTTGAAACAGTTAGTCGACTAACTCATGAAAACAAATCATGATGATCCAATGATCCCCCACCTCAAGGAATCCGGACAAACTATCGGAGTTTCGGAATCGGGAGCCACAGGAGGTTTCAATCCGCTAGGTCTTTGGAGTTGTGGAATCAGAGTTTTTGAAGCGGGTGGAATTGTGTAGTCGTAATGAATTCCTCCATATCGGCCTCCCAAAATGAAGAAATCCACCACTTAACCGGGGATTACCATCTGGTTATTTCATATAGCCATGGAAAATCGGAAAATCCCCAAAATAAATGGAGGTTTCTAGCTGGGAAAATCAGCCATTTTCCATGGCTATGTTAGTCATAACCAGAGGGTATAGAGTTGGATTTCATCTTGGGATCAAATGAGGGTTTGTCCAACTCATTCCCCACGTGCTCGACACCGAAAATGCACCGAAAATGCCCCCACCCCATGGGCAGAATTGGGGGAGTCCTCATGAAAGTTCCACGGAAGAGGGAAAATCTGCAGAAAAGCTTCATCTTTGGGGGTTGAGAACTGTGGTTTCCTGGTGTTGAAACTGCTCATTTTCCTTTGAACCAAGAACCAATCCATCTGAAAAGTGGGATTTTGAGCGGCACTAGAATTTTGGCCTGGTAAGGCTCAGAAAAAGAATGGAAAAGAACATAACATAACCATCAAATAGGGGTTACCCTTCCTTATAAATGTGTGGGTCCATCTTCATCTTGACGGGAAACCCCTATGTTGAATCTCACTATGTTGGTTGAAATCCCACTTTAAACCCATTAATTAGTGACTTGGGGATGGGTCAAAACCCTATCCCCCTGGTGAACATCAAAATAGCTGGTAAATGGATGTTCATCCCCCTAAAAATGGTATGTATAGGTATTGATCCATAGCCACTTTAGTTCCCATGTCGCTGCGGTGAGCCATTGGCCTTGAGCTTTTCCAGCTCTTCCGCTTTCGCGCGGAGCTCTTCCAATTCGCGCAACTGGCAGGGCGAAACTGGGAAGCCATAGTGAAACCATACGCCCCCAATCTTACTGGTTCTGCTGTGCAAATAGCTGTCCAAAACATAAGGAGTTTCCAGTTTCAGCTTTGAATTTTCCAACATGGGCAGCAAAACTCTCATGATCAAAACCATAAAATAGTAAGTACGTTGTGTGTTTTTCTTTTCACAATTCGGTCCTAAACATGTGCCACTTTGGTTCTTTAAAATCCATGGTGAGTTTCGGTTCGCATCCTCCTTGGTAGCGCTTTTGGGCATGATTGACCCCAGCCTGTTCTTCACTCAAGCCGCCAGGCACTGTAACCTGCAAGGCAGGGCAAACAGTGTGTCCCTTGCTAACATGACCAAGCGAACCAGCTGCAACGATCTGTTCCATTTAATGTCAACCTTGGATTAATAAACCCCGTTTACGGCTGTTTAATTGGGAGGGTACCATAAAAAAGTACTAGAGTATGATTATTGGAGGAGTACCCCCCTATTTAACAAACCATGGTTTATTAATCCAGAGTTGACATTCACCAAAAAAACAAGTCCGGGAATATTTACAAAACCTCCTAATTCGCAAAAAAAAAATCGGAAGAGATCCAATGATATGCTGCTACAAATCTTTGAAAGCTCAAAAATCTGGAAACATGACAGAAACGGCCCCTTTTCCCCGTTTTCCCGGTGCTCCCCGTACTCCGACCTCCTTGATCTCAGTGACGGTCTCCTTCTTGTTGTCCGACTTGGGCAGATTCTTCAGCTGATTACTGAGGTCCAAGGACTGCGGCAGCCGCTGGAAAACCATAAAGAATGTCGGGATAAGATATAGTCTGTGTAGAAGAAACCTAGGAAATCATAACTTCGGGATGTCCGACCCCCAAAATTCATGAAAAATCAATGAACTTCCCAGGCATTTAAACATGTTCGCTGCAAAGCCCGCGTTTGCCCGCATCGGATCCCGCATATCCTCTGACATGCTCAAATCCCTGCGTAGGGCTAGCGTTTTTTTACTTCCAAATTCCAAAACCCAAAAACACCTAAAAGCCGAAAAGCCTAAAAACCAAAACCCTAAATTAAAACCCTAAATCCTAAAAACCTAGAGTCACAATCGCTGCGTATAGCCAATGTTTTCATTCATCCTCTGGTGACAAGTATATGATACTGCATCCCCACCAGAGGATTTGACGCCTTTCACAGCACGGCACGGGAAGGCCTTCTTCCTCTCGGCATCGATGTCCTTTTTCAATTGATCCATCTCTGCCTGGTGGCATCCCATGCACATCCCAAGGTGCATAGATCCCTTTATCGCTGGATGGTTGATTTCATGGAAAATCCCCATCTATAAATGGATGATAATTGGAGGTAACCCTCATATTATGAAACCTCTGATTATCAATAAATAGGAGATTTATGGGATGATTCGGATGATTATAGTTATTCTGCTTGGTGGTTGACCTACCCCGAAAAATCATGGAGTTCGGAACTATGGGTTTAGGATGACATCCCATATATGAAATGGAAAATAAAAACAAATTTGAAACCATCAACCCAGTATATGTCAATGATATTTCAATGACATATTGAATGAGATTGGTGATGTTCATGGGACATCCAGCGATTTGACTCATAGCCATATGAGGCTCCCATGAATCCAATTTCATGGGCTGAACAGGTGGCTGCGAAACTTCGCAGCCAGCTATTTTTCACCAAAAAAAATAACAGAACCCTAAACCCTCCACTTAAATAAGCAAAATAAACAGTTGGCAATGCGGAACTCTGGAGATGGCAAGGACCATACCACCATCTTTCTCCAATCGCTCCAGGATCTGATCTTCGAAGGCTTCCCGGTCACTTGCCTCGGTTTTCTTCAACAGTTCCTCCAGTTCCAGCCGTCGACGTCTTTCTTCCTGATCAAACTGTTGAATGTCAGCTGTGGAGGATATGGGGGTTCCATAAATGGGGGATCCCCTTTATCGCTGGATGGTTTATTTCATGGAATGTCTTATTATTGTCTTATAAAAATGGATGATTTTTAGAGGATACCCCCATTTTAGGAAACCTATCATGGATCAACAGGTGATTTTTAGTGGATGCGAATCGTTGGCCTCCAATTCTTCTTTCAGTCGACGGATGGCTTCTGAGTCATCCTTGGTTCTGCATAGTTTTGAGGGATAAACAAAATCAATGTCAAAGACATCCCACGCCGAATGAGACTGGCAAAAGACCAAAAGAATTCTTGGAAGACTTGGCACCAGAGATTGACAGATTGACATCAGCAGTGAGCATAAAAATCGCTCATGGATTGTGATCATCCCATCTTTTGGGTACCCTCTGGTAAATTAACGGTTAGCCATTGAAAATGGCCATAGAAATAGTGAGTTTTCCCATTAAAAATGGTGATTTTCCATAGCTATGTTAGTTTACCAGAGGGTAAGCCCCGAACTACCGTCATCGCTCAACCTGAGCGACCGGACTGTAGGAACAGGCGTAGTGGGACCAGGCGCCTCAGAAACGCGAGGCGTCCACAAACTTGGGGCCGGGGACGGTTGTGGGGCCAAAAAAAACCCAAGGAGTCCACGGGTTTATCATCATTTCATATGTATAGATATAGATAGATATATATATAATATGTATATGATTATATACATAATATATATATATATATAATCTATATATTATATATATATAATAATGATATGTATATAATCTGTACATGTATATATGTGATGTTATCAATTATATAAATACCTCGACCATGTCGGAAATTGTTCTTGGGGTATCTGCAGCCATGCTACTCCTCCTTTCTGCCTTTTCAACATGGCGATCTCCTTCTGCGCCTTAGCGTTCAGTTGAGATACCCTCTGGTTATGACTAACATAGCCATGCTATAGATGGTTTACCGAACTTAAAAATGGTGATGTTCCATGACTATGTTAAATAACCAGATGGTAGTGGCTGAAATCTATGCATATGGCTTATGGTAGATATAACGAACGAGTTCATGGGCTTTATAAACCAACAAACATAACTGGGAACCAGCATCATGCAAGGGACGGCCCTGGAATTCTAAAAACGAAAGGATAAATCTGAGAAATCTGAGAAATCTCAAGATCCCGGGCATCCATCAGCTTCTGCTCCAACTCTTCGATTCGCTTCTTGGCCTAACAATGCCAAAAGGGCACTTGTCACTGTCCATGTTTCCAAAAGACCTGGAACCATCCCAGTTTTTATCGTGGGAATCTATGAACTAGTGAAAATCCCCCCCATAAATGATGGCTACATCAGTTAGATCCCCTATACATATTATAAATGATGGGCACATGCTTAAAATGTTTGAAGGGAATCTCACTATCTTCAGCCATGGCACCATCTGCAGCTCCGATTCTTAGCCGGCAGCAAGGATTTTTTCATCGGCAGAACGATCCGATTGTATCCGATTTTTTGGGATTCAGGAAATGATGGAGAACCACCATTCTTGATTGCAAAATCAAGGAACTTCACTGGAATGTTGAGCTTCCATAAGCTTCCAATACGTTTTTTCCAAGGAACTCATCTTCTCAATCTCTCCAGATTTGTTACCCTCCTGGAGCTGCTTCCGCAACCTGAAGATCTCTGAGCGCATGGGGAAAACAAATGTACCCATTGGTAAACATGGCTAGCTGGGAAATCCTAGAACAATAGCTGGATGCTGGATGTTTAGTTCAGAAACTCATCGTTAAGTTCAGCTTTTCGATCAGATTTTTTTTTGATTGTTCACGATTTTTACCAGCCAGCTAGGGGAGTACCCGGGTCCCCCCCCAATATGATGGAATTCCAACTGATTTCCAGCCAGCTGATTTTCGGAAATCCAGCTGATTGTCCCAGCTTTTTTCGTCAAGTTGCTGCGAAATCATCTCTTCGAGCTGCGTATTCTTCTCTTCACCTAGGCGTTGAGCTCAGATCCCATGGAAACGCACCTGGAAGCACCCTGCCTTCCCAAGGCGGAAAAAAACAGTTTTTTTTTGGGACGAATTTCCAGATTTTAAAGAATACTACCCTGGATGGAATATTTGGACAGCAACCCCTGCCCAGGAAATGATATATATATATTATGTATGTATATGTATGTATGTAAGTAATGAGGAGCATGTTCCTTATCTACGTTTATTTGTCAAAGCATCACCACCACTCTCTTAGACAAGCAGCTTTGCTTTAGCTGTTGCTTCACACGTTCCAGTTCCTCCTGGAATTTGCACAAAGTGAGTTGACCATCAATTATTGGGATTCTGTCATTGAGGATCATGGGGATTGATCATCAACAGGATAATTATCCTCATAAAAATGCTCCTAATAGTTACAGTTGACCATCAATTATTGAGTTGAGGATCATGGAAACATGGAAATTCATCATCAACAGTGGGATATCGTGGGATTCAAAAATTATCTTTTGCTTTGTCCAAAATTATCCCCGAGTACCCTATTCTTGGAGACAGACCCACGAGAGGGGACACAGGAGTTCCCGCTATCTCTTCTGCAAATGGGGGATAGCTCATTTCACCCATTCACAGAATGGGCCTATTTGATGGAAATTCGGAAATGTGATTTGCCGCGGAACAAACACACTTGATACAAACTCTTCCAATGTAACAAGAAAGACCTAGCAATCGGATCCATCCATACTTCTCACGAATGTGTCTTTCTTGAGGGGAACACCTTGGCACTTCCCTCCGACCAATACATGGTAATCAAACTGAAAAGCAACATCTGCATACTCGTTTAACAAAGGTCAATCATGTCAGATCTATCCATATTGTTCAAACCTCCAGTAATCAGTCACATGATTTGCTAACCCTCCATGTTTCACGGGGATTTCATGGGGATTTCATGGAAATTTCTCTGTTTTGATCGAGAAATTTCCCATTGAAAAACGGCAAAAATCCCAATGCCATCTCTCCAGTGAAGCCGTTGGCCCCTGATTGTCTGATTGTCGTCGGAACTCTTTGACCTGGCGAAAAAAACTTTGGAACATCGGAAAACTGTGAAAAAAAAACAGGAGAACTCCACGGATATTAAAAAAACTCAGAAAAAATCTGGAAAACTCCAAAAACTTCGCATGGTGTTGATGTATTTCCAACATATCTCACTTGTCAAACTGAGATACTAGTGGACATGTGCCACGTCTACCACCTCAGCTCCGCTGTCCGCCCCTCCAAATTTGGGGAGTCAAAACTCCCAGCTTTTCCTACACAGAATATAGGTGAAATGTTGAGAAACACAGGTACCACCTTCATGTTGGGACGTCAATTTTTGACCAATCGCCAATCTCCACCAATTTCGGTGTTCAACAACCTCTGTCATTCCATCGGTGCTGATGAGAATCGCCATGTTTTTAATGACAAATGTTATCCCCAAACTACCCAAAATAATCATCCCAGTGTTTTTTCTCCAACGGCTCTTGGTTTGTTTCCGCCAAGTTGGGGGACTGGGGGATATAGACAATAATATCAACTATATTGTATAATATAGTTATATCAAAAATACACGTATCCTAATCATTAATGCTGGTCCTATCATAATATGTGCATATCAGAATATGTGCATATCAAACATACAAAAATGTGCAGATAACAAAAAAAGTATATCTATATGAATATGTCATAATATGTCTATATATATCCCAATCATTAATGTTAGTCATTAACTGGGTTAGCATTTCAGTGGTTCCGAAAAATATTAAGGGATCTGGCTAAAATTTGCAATGTTTCATGGAAGTTGTCGACACCTCATCACAATTTCATCTTAATCCCAGATTAGTGGACATGTCCCAGCATCAATGACGCACAACTAAGGCTCCGTGCAGCAGTCAGTTTTTGTGCTGAGAACTTGCCCAGTAGCAGGATCCAAGGTTATCAGCTACTAGTGAGAATGTGCAGGAGCAAGTCCAAGGGAGCAAACTGATGATGATCAGCATTTAAGTGCTAACAGACTACTTTCTTTAACCCTATCAGTTTTGCTCACCTGACACCGTGCCTTACACGCTCATGCTCTTTCTAGATGAGCGCATCAATTTCTAGGCTTTGACGGGACAAAATCCAAGCTTTGCATCAACAGCATGTGTTCGCGGGGCTGAAAATCATACGACTTCGGTAAAATAGCAATCTAAAAACTCTGCAAGGTGCACGCTTCAGGAAAGCTTCTGCTCAGAGCAAGGAGTTTGCATCAAGGACTGCTTGGATTAGCTAGACACGAGTGTGGCTTCCGAATCAAGATATGTGAGGCGAATTGAGGCGATGTCATAAAATCAAAAACACTGGACACTATTGAAGATCAACATAATAATGAAAAACAATCATGCCTCATCTTGATTCCGGATCTCCGCGTGTCAACCTTTTAACGTCGTCATGATCCTCTTGCCTACTACTTTGGGTGATCATGCTTGTCACCAAACATTCAAAAGGAAAAATCTGTGAGCAAGGATATTTTTTTGAAGTTTGTGGAATCTCTTGCTGCATGCTGTCTAATGAATTTGCCAAACTCTTCGCTCACTCACCCCTTCAGCAGCCACAGGAGCCGCAGGAGCCGCAGGAGCCACAGCAGCAGTACCACTAGTAGCTGTGGGAGACGCAGCCAATGATGCACCAGTGCCTGCACAGGGGCCACACTCAAACCCTTCAACGTCTTTAGCTAACCTTTCATTGTGCAATCGTGGCATCAAATGACTAGGAAAGCTGGCAGCATGCCACCGAAGGGTGGTTTAATACTAATATTATTTTAGTAATAATTAATGTGGTCTTCACAAAGAAGCACCTCAAAATGCTCCATTGACACGCAAAGGTGATGCAAAGTTGGCAATGCAGGTTAAGCCTCAGCATGAAGGTCGTTGCCATGGGCTCGGAAACAATGAGCAAGTGTTGGCACATGGAATGCTGAGATGCTTTCACTGGTAGCACAGCAGTCCCAACAAAGTGAATTACTTGGCTATACCTGTCTGACATTTTGTGCAAGCGCCATCACCATTGACATGTCCAAAACCTATCTCAACAAACTGGCTCAAAGCAAAATCGGCTCTCTGCAAATGTAAGGCCTGTGAGCCGCTGAGTGCCGCTGAGCCGTGTAACCGCAAAAGCGGCTCACTCACCGGGGCTGTCTGGTTCCATTGGGGCTTCTTCAGGGTTGTCCTTGGGAGCCAAGTTTTCCAGGACATCTGGGAAAAACTTCTTCACGTCTCCTGCCAAAGCTTCATTGAAAAGAGTTGATCCCTCCAAGGTAATTAGCCCGCAGGCGGCTCTGTCCGCAATGGCCTGGAGCCAGTGCTGGTGTTCCTTGTTCAAGCACAGGCCGTGGTAGACAACGCCTCTGGTGAGGCTGGCTTCCATGAATGCGCCGGAGCCGGCTGTCACATCGAAAACTGCGGTCACCTTGTACTCGTCAAGGATTGCATTGAAAAAGCTGATGGGCTTGGACTCTTGCCAAAAGAGTGGCACTGCATTGTCCCCAAAGCGATCTGTCCAGTCCTCCGGAGGAGCCGCAGAAGCCGCAGAGCCGAGGACCTGTGCTTTTTCAGTCAATGACATCAGGGGAAGTTCATGAGGACCGAAACTCCACTCCACTATAGCTGCCTTGAAAAGTCGTGGCTTCTCCACAGGACGTGAAATTTTCACGCTTGGATGTCTTCACCCGCACCCGTTGTGTTGGGAAGCGAACTGCCGCTGTTTCGGTTTTGCGAGCACCCAAAGGGATCCTTCGCATGCGGCCAGCGCGCGCAATGCATCCCCCTGAGTAGACCAAGTGCATTTCCTCTGACTGTGGCTGAGCGAGCACCGCCTCTTCCTTGCAAGTTTCAGGTGATGCAATTGAAAGCTGTATGTTCTTGATGGCTTCGGAAATCAGCAACGTTACTGAGCCCGTATTTTACCATGGAAGCACATCCCTTGCGCAAGACTGCGCTCCTCACATCCGCATCTTCATCATGATCGGAAAAAGAACGAAGGAGGGAGGGAGGGAGGGAGGGAGAGAGAGAGAGAGCGCAATAATAGCAACCATACCACCATCAGCAAATAACCTCGTTATCAGCAGCGGCATCAGCATTAAAAGCATCAACATGATCATCGACATCAGAATCCTCAGCAACCTCACACCTTTGTTTTTACTCTGAAGAACTGCAAGATCATGAGCAAGCACAAGAACCAGAACAAACAAACAGGAGCAGCGGCACCACCACCACCACCACCACCACCGCCACCACCACCACCACCCCACCAGCAGCACCAGCACCAGCACCAGCACCAGCACCAGCACCAGCAAGCGAAGCCGTCATGTTCGAGCCACGGAAATAATCCATTACATGTGGCCTGGCCGCTTGGAGCTTCTGGAAGGGGCTTTTGTGTCTCCAAAGGAACTGCTTGTCTCAAGTCCTGAAAATTGCACATTGCTTGAATCAGATAGCAACAAAATATACAAAGTCTGACTTTTCCAGCATGCTGCATGCTGGTAAATCAGCTCTGTTTCTGCTACAGTCCACATGAAAAAAGCAACCTTTCAAGGAGCCTATCTGACCTTTCAGAACCTAGAAGGAGATGAACCATGCATTGAAAGGTTGCAGGAGTGAACCGAAAGGACAAGTTCGCGCGCACAGAAACATAAAGAAACCAGAATCCATTCTGCAGCTGAAGCTGCAATTTCACTGAGCACCTAGCTTGCTTCAACCAAGAGCAGCCGCGATTCTGGGGGCAACCGTAGGCACCTCCTTTGCTTTCCAGTTGCCTCAGGCTTCCAGCGGGTATTACTGGTTTTTGAAGAGTCCATGCGCATGTACACATGCAGCCGCATTGTCCTTCTTAAGGCAAGAAGCAGCGACTGTGAAATGCAAAGTTCCTCAGGACCATCGTGATAAGTGAAAAATGCCAACTTGGGAACAAAACAGGGCTTCAGGTCACTGTGGGGCTGAGCGTCTTAAGAACGTGGATGCATTTGCAAGCATTCACAACACAAATGTGGCTGGTTAGCTCGGCCTGGAGGTTCAGCATCTTCGGACAGTGCTGGTTCGGCCAAGATTGCAAATGCTCAACCACTTTGTCCAAGACATCGTCAGCTGCAGAGCCACACCATCGGCCAAAGAGTTTGCTATAATTACCGTTCCTGACAAGATTGACGAGACATTGTATGAAGTGCTTTGAAAACAATGTCTCTGATGCTTCTCAATTCTTTTAGCCGTGATTCCAGTGCGAGCTGCATTCCTGGCTGGCTCGCGCCAGACGTCCCAGGGCTTCTAAAGTCTGTAGGAAATGCGTACCCATAAGTTTCGATGCATCACACTGAATCATATCCAACCTTGCCACAGGGCCAATTTGAAAATCAAATGCCCATGCATATACTGGAGACATGCTTTTTTCGCATTGCCAAAATTGGGATAGATGGTAACCACAAAGTACGCTCCTTGACAAGAAGCAAATCTGGATCCACAAGCCATGATTTCTTGCTGTCATTCACAAAAATGGCATCTAGCGTGCCATCCAAAAATTGCCCACAGAGACTCAATGCCCCTGCGAGGCGCAACTGCCCCAGATCACGGTTTGGTCGCAACTTCTTGCCATGCTTGGAAATCACTCTGGAAGGCATGTAAGCCTTTCGTTGTCCTACGCCATTGGTGTCTCGGAAGAATTGGTGGATCACACCGAGCAATGAAATCCTTTGCTGAGAGCATGTCTCAAACACATACTGAGCAAAATCAGGGGACCTAAGGTATGTAACTATGATCACAAGCCCGAGCTGTTCACGACTCTCAAGTCGTTGCACATGTGGCGTCGCCAAGATCTTCACCAAATAGTCCGTCACCTTGTCACCTCCTCAAGGAGAAGACAACTCACAATGCAAGAGGGCTACATGATGCCATGGATACGCTCATGAGCAACACACATGGACACATCACTGGAAGACTCGGGCAAGTTCGGTTTGATAGTCAAAAGCAAACACAAAGGGTAAATATCTAAGCATTCTGAAAGGAATGGCTTTTGTAGTGCCCCCAGACCAAAGCAAGAAATTGCAACTGCTTGCGCTCATGAGAAGCATGCCTGGGCACATGCCCTGCATGCCTACACCTCTGCATCTAAGCCTTGCAATCAAGGCTCTGTGCTTCATCAATGAATGCAAGAAGCTGCCTCTACAGCTGTCTAGAAAGGTAAAAGGGGCCCCTTCCAGTCTCAAAAAAGGGTTGTCGGTGTGCAAGATCTGCAGCATCACGTTGTCAGGATCCTCCCAAGGTGCTTCACTCAGGATCCCTTCAGGAATAGCTAGCCAAGAAAGTTAACTGCAGCACGATAACCTCTTGAACTACCCTTGGTTGACTGCGAGCAACCCTTCTATGCCCAACTTGCTTCTACATGGCAAGGGAAAGGTCCCACAGGGACATTGAAAGGTGGTGCCATGACAAAATCTTATGCTTTGTCAATCAGTATCAGTAAAATATCATAGACCTATGCAAATAATAGAAATGATAGAACATGATGACATCTGGAATTGTCCTTCCCTAGGGGTGGAATTCGACAACCGGCTCGATAAGTCATGTAGGCAGCCAGGGCTGCCTTGGATCCGAGGCCAAGCACAAAACTACTATAACTTTCTGGCAGTCAGGGCTCGATGCAATGCAGGCCAGTGGCAACAGGAACTACAGCCAGGTCAAAATCCCTGAAAAGAAATTGCACCAATGACAGCAAGTTGGCATCCTTTCCCTTAACGCAGCTCCGAGCAGCCTCAGCGCAAAAAGATTGCAGGATCCAGCGAAACAGCTTCTCAAACAGATTGCGTTTCAACCTCCCTATCCAAAGCCAAGAAACCATCCAAGAAGCTCGCTGGACACGGCCCCACTTGTCGCTAGCTTCCCCAGAGTTTGCAGCCTTTAGCCAAAGCTTGACGGCAGCAGCAGGGTCAACAGGCGTTGGCGCCATGGCCTGGCGCAGGAAGCAACCCTTCAATGTCAGCTGTGCAGCCTTGGAGGCTCGTATTGGCCCATTTTACCTTTCAATGTATAGTCCCCTGAGCTTTCGATGACAAAAGCTTGAAAAATGAGTTTTTACACCTTTCAATTCCATGGCTTGACCTTTGGTGGCAACCACAAACATCAGCCCAATTGGTTCTCGCGAGCCAGGGGCGTATTGCACAGGGGCAACATATGCAATAGGAGCGTATTACATGGTGGAAATCCCTCTTGATTACGGGCCTGGTTCTTAAGAACCGGGAGCGTATTGAGAAGCATGCTAACTTTAGGAATTCAGAAACTGAGGTGATGCGTAATGTGAAGGGCAATCCCCTTTATAATACGCAGCTGGTTCTTAAGAACCAAGGGCGTATTGCAAGGGGGGGCTTTTTTGCTAAGATTCAGAACCCCCAAGTTGAGGCCGGAGCATGACAGTGCTCTTCACTGTCATCCAACCTTCGTCAAGAACATACCTGACACACCCCTTGAGCGGCGAAGCATGCGAATTGATCGCACAAAAGACCAGAAGTCCTTCCATGTCACCACCTTCTTTACAGGCACCTTCTTGCTGGTATGCTTGCAGCCAGTCGCTGGTTTGCCTAAAGTGTGAAGCCGCCAGCGGGAACCACGAGCTTCAGCACATATCTTGAATGCTGAAGCTACCAGCCCACACCTGGCACACATCTGAATCTGCAATATATGGATGTGATCTTTTGCTTCAAACCTTTGAAACTTTAAACGTTGTACTCTACGTGACAAGGTCTCAACAAAGTCTTTTGACATTGTGAATTCTGTCCTGGCAACATCGCCAGAAACCTCTAACGAAAGAGCTCGGGTTCTCGCTGCAGCACTGAACCAAAGGAAGGATTCTGGATTCCAGTTTTTCCTGTCCGGCGTCTCCACAGCAGATTTCTCCGCAACCACCTTCCCCAGGCCATAGCAAACCAGCAAAGCTGCAGCCTCAGATGGTCCAATGTCAGATGCTGCAGGGGGGAAACCCCATCGCTTTCCGAGGTTTGGTGGCGGCATGAAAACAGCAGGAGTTCACAATGATTTGCTTTAACTTGAAATTTATTCATTTCCTACACTGCCTACTCCCCAATGTAGAATGTCAATGATAGTTTCAAGCCTACAAACCTACAAACATCTTTGCCAAATCGCCTCTGAGCCTCTGAGCAGCAATCCAACGCAAAGTCTCTGAAAAAATGTCAACAACATGAAATAAGATTAATTATTGTTATATGCTTCTTCCCAACAGAAGCCTCCTGGCTGTGCATGCCTGCAACGGAGGAGGCGCAGCTGCAGAGCTGCAGTAGGGCCACACCTGACCAGCAACGAAACATGCAAAACAAGGCACATTGCATTGACAGAAGAAGCGGCTAAACCAAACCAACTGCAGCTGCTGTGCAACGTAGTAGTAGAATATAAAATTCCCTGTGCTCTTGACGCTAAGAATGATGTAATTATCATAATTTGAATGTTTACTTTTGGGCTTGGAAGCAAGGAAATGAGTCTTGATCCCTTTTGGCGGTGTTGAATGGGAAACATTGGGAGGCAGACAACCCATCTCTTTTCCACGCGCTTGCCATGGAAGAAGTCTGTTCAAAATGCTGCCTCATGCAGCTCGTCTGCCAGCAGATCATTGATGTGTCTGCCAGGCATCAGATGGATCCGCAAAGCCGCTGTACCCGCCATCGTTGCCGTCCCCATCATTGCCCCCATCGTCATTGGTCTCCCATCCGGCCCATGGATCTGCCTCAGGAGCCGCAGAAGCCTGAGGAGCCGCTTGAGGAGCCGCTTGAGAGGCTGCTTGAGGAGGCGCTTGAGTTGCCATCCCTGGGCCAGGACGCACTGGCCCTTGAAAGGTCGTGGTTAACGGTGCTCCCCAGCCAGTGCCCTGCCCGCTTGGCTTGCCCCAGCCGCCAGAGCCGCCCTTGCTGCCAGAGCCGCCCCAGCCGCTCCAGCCGCTGTTGCCGCTCCAGCCGCTGTTGCCGCTCCAGCCGCTGTTGTTGCCCCAGCCTTTTTTGCCGCTGCCCTTCTGTGCTGCAGCGCGGCTCTGCTCGGCATCTCCGGTCTGCCGCATCGTGTCCACGCAATACTGCTGGGCTCCTCCTTGCAGCAATCCCAAGTGGAGGCCTCCCGGAGCCCTCTGGCATCGAGCAACGCAGATGCTGTAGGGCGCGCCAACAGCATCCAAGCGGCGGATAAGCTGCAAGGCCACCACGTGGCAGGTGCCGCTCTTCTTCACTGCGATAGCCCGTTCCTGAAACGCAACACCATCAAAACCAGACCAATCTGTTGTCAAAAAATGAAATCGATCTTCCATTGAAGCTTGTTTTAGTCCACTGTGCAACCATGAAAAGAATTTGAACATCCCAAAAAAACTGCCTTCCAGATACGCACAGAATAGAAAAGCGTGGGCGCATTCTGCAAGCCCTGGCCCAAAACAAACCAAGAATCCACCTGGTAGCCATCCCACACCAATCCAAAATCATCTGCTCCACCCCCGGCGAACATCACGTCCACTTCCCTTTTCTGTCGGACCATGAAGTCATCGTTGACGAAGTCCCCCTTCACAATCTCAGCCTGAAAAATGGAAAAAATGAGGCGAGCCCTGAGATCTTCATATTCAATTTTGAACCTTGATTGAAATTGTTTTTTGCGCCATTATTGTCATTATTTTAACTATTATTATTAATAATCATTAGTGTTGTTGCCTATAAAATTATGAATGATGATGGCTATTGTCCTTCTGGTCGCGCCCAAACATTGAATCATGTCACCCCAGGCTTCAATGTGAACAGCGGGGTCACGAATTTCTTGTTGGCCGTCTGGATGGGTGCAAAACGCAACACGTAAAAGAAGCCGCTGGATGTGACCCAAATTGACGAGTTGGTCATTGCGACCCCGCCGTCCACAAGCTGCGAAAAGCCAGGCTCCAAAGTGGAAAGGATGCAGAGCATTTCGTTGCGGACGGTCTTGTCGTTGTCAGCTGAGAAGAGCAATCCAGCCCTGTGCATCTCCTGACGATGCGGCTCGAAGGCGGCATGGAAAAAGCTGTTCTTCAGGAGCATCTTGTTGCGAGCCTCCAAGGCGACCGTCTCATCCTCATCCCCTTGAAGAGCAAGCAAGCTGCGAGGCTCAGACCGTCCGACTCCCAAGCCAGACTTGTTCAGGAAAGCCTTGACAAAATGCAAGCAATCCCTGGCGTAGATTGTGATGTGCATGAGTTTGCCATCGTCTCTGTTGAACGGGAGGGCCCACCCAGCCCAGCCGTCTGCCTGCAAGATGGCAAAACAAAACATCCAGTGAAAACGAAAAAAGTAGCGATGATTGATGCTGGGTGTTTTTCTTTATTATTAAGTTTAGAGGCAACTTCCTACTATTTGTTCTGGATAGCTTTGGCTGTGCCAATGAGTTCCAGCCCTTACGCACGATTCACGGTGCTCGAAACTTGAAAACTTAAAATCAACATGTTTGGCAGCTGTTCAGAACCCTGTCCTCGACTTCTTGAAGATCATAGCCTCTGGCCTGTCCATTCATCACAAAGGGCAGCAGCAGAATCTTCCCCGTGTACACGGTGCGCTGCTCTGCGGGAGTAACTTCGCAAAACTGGTCCAGAATCTCCCGGGCACAAGATGCAATCTCAGCGGCCGCGGGTCATTGAAAGGTTGGACAACACACACACACGGATTACATTGCCCAGATCTTTTAAGCTTTGTTTCATTTTTGTTCCAACAAACTTGGAATGCTTAGCCAAAATTCAAACCCATGATGCCCATCCAGCCAAGCAGCGACTTGCCAGGGGGGGGAACGCTCTGACGCATTGGCATGACCTGCAGCAAATTCTTGGCTTCGTCCACCACCGATGGATCAGGCAACTTCATACCTCAGACGAGCACAGCTCGCGCGTTGGCTTAAGAAGCACTGGCCAATTGACCCCAGTCATGGTCTCTGAAATAGCAAAACAAATATATTTATTATATTACACTAATATCTTATTATATGTGTGCATGATCATATGCGAGTAGTATAACCATAATCAACCTAACGAAAAACAGATTCACCTTGAATCCTTTTTCTGCCCCCCTTTTTGCGTACTAGGGACTTGCAGCCACTTCATCCATAGCCGCCTTGGTCTTGGTGCCGCCAGGAAAGAAGGAGCTCAGCAGGACATTGAAGCCAGCAAAGGCCCAGGTAAAGTCCACTTCAGTGTTGTAGGTGTTCTGCATCCAGTCTGGAGCCATGGCAATGTCACAGGCGTGCCGCAGGATCTGGTCATTGCTCAGGAGGCAAATGTTGGGGCGGAATTGCCTCATGTTGCGCACCAAAGCCTCTGCAATCTCAGCACGTTGATCTCTCACCTGCTGCGTCATCACCGTGAGATCCACAGACGCTGCAGCCGCTGAAGCCGAAGAAACCGCTTCAGACTGTGCCACTTCGGAATCCACAGGAACACCAGTCACAACCACATCTCCTGGTGCCGGCCCGTCTTCATTCGCAACGTCAGCACGGTTGGCAGATTGCCTTCCTCCGCTGAAAAGACCGCGAAATGCTGCAGCCATTGAAGCGATTCAGCCAACAAAAAGCCGCAAAGCCGATGGAGACGCTGAGCCGGTGGGCTGCACTGCTGGAGGTATGTGAAAATCTCCCCAGAGGATCTTGGCAGATGAAAGATGATGCTGTCTTCCAAATTTCTTATCCCCAAAACACCAGCATGGAAACTATCAGCCACACCGGCTCACATGGGGCGAGCCGGTGCTGCAAGAGGCGCTGCCGCAAGTGCCAGAAGCAACCACCTGCCGAAACACAAGGATGCCAAGATGGGCCGGGAACCAACAGGGTAGATGAATGGGGGGATGGCTCACCATTTTAAAAAGTATATGTCCATGCCGCGAACTTCTGATTGCATTGTGATACAGGTCCGGTTAGTTCTGTCAACAGCAGCTGTAATAAGTTTTTCACCACACCAGCCAGGAATAATCAGTCCATATATTGCATATGTACCTCCCTCTAAAGATATTATATATAATATATACACAAGTTGTAAAAGACATTAATTTGTGCATTTATTGGTTATTGTAGTCATATATGATATTTTAAATAAAATAATATAATAATATATAATATTTTTTTACAAGACACATAATATGAATGAAAATTAGCACAGTCACCATCATCATCATCATCATCAGCATCGAATCATCATCATGCACTTCCTTACTATTACTTCATTATACCAAGCTCAGGGAAGCAGTCATTAACACAGAAAATTAGAACTGAGAGAATCCATCAACGGCCCTAAGCACCTCTGGAGAGCGTGCTGGCTACCTGCACAAGTGGGCTGTCGGTGGCAAAAAGGTTCGGGGACTCTAATGGATGGATCTGGCTTTGAGTGGCTCTCATGAAACCATACCTAGTAGTAGATTATCTAGATGGAGGCAACTAGGGACAAAGCTGCTCACCCCCAACAGCACCTGAATGAGAGCAGCAGGCCAGAGCAACGCCGCGGAAGGAGGCGCAAGAGCCGCAAAAGCCGCAGCGCCCTTCAGAGCCGCAAGAGCCGCAAAATCAGCAGCCGCAACAGCTACAGCAGCCGCAGCAGATGCCAAAACACCTGACAGGGGACGTGGCCCGCAAGTCAACTAATGATAGTAGACTAGAAACCCTTCGACGAATGGAATCCACCCTTCCCTATCCAAAACTAAGAATTATGGCAGGGAAGGGTTGACATCTGCAACCAAAAGGTTTGTTTACCCCCCCCTTTGCACACGACGGAGGCGCGCCTCAATTTGGGAAGCTGCTCACAGGAATGCAGGGCTTAGAATGTAATTCGTGACACATTACTGCACTGCTGTGCTGTGTGTTTCTTCCTGTGTCTTGAGCTTGAAGGACGCCGGCCAAGCGAATGAGGAAGCAAGCTTTTTAATTCTCCAGCCACCCAAAACGCAAAAAAATAAAAATGTCCAAACGGCTAACCTAGTTAAGTATTATTGTTCTACCCATCGTTTCCCAGTTTTTTCCATCAGTCTTTCACCTCCCTACGGAGCTGTTCCAACGATTTCTCCATCGCAGCTAACTTCTCTTCAGCCTCTCACCGGAAAAATCGTGGACAAATGCGGCTGCTGTTCCAATATTGTGGAAACATTGTTGATCTATTGGGAGATTTATGGATTTTTGGAACTTGTATAAAATTTTAGATTGATAGTCTGATATCAATATAGTTTTAAATCAACAATAAAAATCTATTGGAAATGACAAACGTTGTTTAATCGTTTCTCATGGATTTTTCGCGCCTCCTTGGCTGCCAGTTCCAGCTCCCGGATGCGCGCTTCTGCTGCCTCCTTCTCCAATCTGGCATCGCGCAAGGCCGCCTGTGGAGTGGGTTTTCCGCCCGCAAAACGCGGGGCCCAAAATCCCAAGAATACCATGGTGAATGGGATGTTTGATCAACCCTTCAATATTTGTTTTTTTACAAAATGGGAGAAAGCAAAGGAATAAAATCTAAGGACTGAAATTCGGGATTCATCCAAGATTGGAATGACAACCCGCCCAAAATCTGGTCAGCGGCCTCTAACTCCGCAATCTGCTTCCGCAGTTTCGTTACTAGCCTCGTCTCAACATGGAACAACTCGTCTCAGCCCTAGCAGAAACACTTTCTCAAGGTTCCGGACTCACTTTCCTCATCGTTTTTTTCAAATTCCTCAGCCAGATGTCAGTGATAGATTCAGGCTGATTCAGGTATCAAGAAACCTGGCAATGGAAAGCTCCGGAGTTTTTGATAGGTAAAGTCATTAACCACCAGTGGAGATCAGTTTTTCCAACCAAAGGGGTCTCCAAACCAGTGGAGACTCCGGAGAAACTGAAGAAATCCACCTCTTGCGGTACAAGCATCGGAGAAATCCACCGCCGAACCCTTCGCATTTGCGATGGCAATCGCGAGCTTTATTCTCACAATTTCCTGACCCATATCATCCATGGTGCTGGTATATATGGTATATTAATGCTAACATTGATTGGGGCTATATTGATGGGATCCATGGCACACCATATATAGCAGCACCGTTAGGATCCGTCATGGGTGACAGAAAAAGACTTCGTTGAGAACATCTCGATTCTGTGGGAAATGGTGTATCAAACAGTTCACCTTACTGGTGCTTAGTAGGGAATGAGGGAATGATCCACAATAATTAACTAATTATCAATCCCATATCATCCATGGTGCTGGTATATATGCTAACATAAAGGGGGTATATTGATGGGATCCATGGCACACCATATATAGCAGCACCATGGATCCGTCATGGGAATAATAATCCCAGCAACCCCCAGTCCCATCCATTCCCTGCGTTTAGCACCAGCAAGATGGTTCAAAGAGTTGGTGCATAATTCCCCGTCCTTGAAGTACTCCCGCTTCTCATGGTCCGAAAACCTGTGCGAGTGGCACGTCTTCGAGATGTCACACTTTTTAAAAAGGTCGCAGCTGTGGGTCAAAAATGGGATAAGTTGATACAATGAGTACTTCAATATCACTTACCCAAAATGTCTAACTTACCCAAAAGGTCTGGTCAAAGACATCTTCTAATTGGTGGTTGAGCCACCCCTCTGAAAATATGAGTTCGTCAGTTGGATGATGATTCCCAATATATGGAAAGTCATAAAATTCATGTTCCAAACCACCAACCAGTCAGAGTTAGCCATGATTGATCAGTGGTTAATTGCTGGTTCATGATTGATTAGTGGTTAATTGCTGGTTCTAACTTACCCTAAATGTCTGGTAACATTACATTGTAACATTAGTATGTAGCATTAGTATGTACCATTAGTCTGGTCGAAGACATCTTTCATATCCCATAGGATCCATGGTGCTGCTATATATGGTAACATGGATCCCATCAATATACCCCAAATGTTAGCATATATGCCAGCACCATGGATCCTATGGGTATATAGTTCATATACCCAAATCCATCTGCCCGGATCACCAAGGATCACCAAGATCAGCACCAAGGATCTGACCAGAAGTCTGGCCACCAGAGCACTTTTTTGTAAGTGCCATCCAAGGCGATCTCCAAGGCAACTCGCACCATGGCCTTAGCAGTTTCAACAAAAATCGCCATTTCTGCAAGTGGTTCGAACCCTCCAGTTTTTATATGTGTTTATATAAAGTTCTAAGATTCTGTGGGAATATGTGAAAGATATTGATTTTCCATTATCCTTTCTCGATTTCAAGATCTTTGATGTCGTTTTTGCTGCCATTTCTATGTCGCTCAGAAGATTTCGAAACTGTTTCTGGAAATCCTCAGTTCGGAACCTCATTGCTATGCTCCAAGAGAAGCCACAGTGACTGGCAACAAAGTCGCTGAATTCTTGGCTTGTTTGAAGGGATAACCACAAAAGTTAAAAGTAGATCTCTTGAGCAGAAGACCACTCAAAAAATACCCAATAGATCCAATAGAATCAATTTAGATCACTTCAAATATTTTTTTGAATCTCGCGTTGTGTTCCCAACCACTCCAAAGATCTCCAAAGCTTTTCGCAGGGATCATCGCAGGGATCCTTTTTCATCCATCATTTACCCTCTGGTAAACATACCCACAGGACGAGGGGTTGTCCCGGAGGGACAACCCCTCGTCCTACGAGGGTGAGCGGAGCTAGCAACCCATTGGTTCCATTATCCCAGTCTGTGATGATTTCCTTGTCATAACATTTCCTTGTCATAATCTCCTGGCCCCATGGAACATATACGCATACTTCTATTAGGGGGTTCATTTAGGGTTTACAAAAGTTATAAAATCGCTGGGCCCCATGTAACATATACGCATACTTCTATTAGTGGTTTCATTTAGGGTTTACATGAGTTATCAAATCCCCCGGCCCCATGGAACATATACGCATACTTCTATTAGGGGTTTCATTAGGGTTTACATAAGTTATAAAATCCCCCGGCCCCATGGAACATATACGCATACTTCTATTAGGGGTTTCATTTTTACAGAAGTTATAAGATCCGGAGTCGCCAAAAAGTGGAAAAGATTGAAAAAGTGGAAATGGCCGAAACGCGTGAAGTCCGCAAAAATTCACTTTCCTGAATGATTTTTACAAAAATTCGTCTTAGACCACGCTAACTCACAGATGTACCAGAGTCATAAAACACTGCGCCTGCGCAGAGAAATGAGCTTCCCACTGACGTTCATACGACCATTCCGGGACAACCCTCAGTCCTGCCCGTAAACATACAAAAAGCGAACTGGAAAATGGCCCAGTCGAAATAGTGGATTTACCCACTGAAAATGGTGATTTCTATCTTTCCATAGTTTTTTGGGACAGTCATAACCAGGCCGGGTAAATACTAAATCCCATTAAAATCACCATAAAAATGTTGGTAAAAACCCATTAAACCACCATTAAACCACCATTAAACCACCATTAAACCACCATTAAACCACCATTAAACCACCATTTACCAGGCCGGGTAACCAGAAATTTCACCACCCAAAAAAACCATCCACAGTCGATGGGATGATAAACCACCAGCGGCTCCCACCTTAGACACTTCCATGACTCGGTGTAAGTCCGTTACCTCGAAAAATTCATCCAGATCCAGCTGGAGTGATGTGGACTGATTTTTTTAGGCTGGAAAAATGATGAAAAATGATGAAAAATGATGAAAAATGATGAAAAATGATGAAACATGATGAAAAATGATGATCTTGAAGCATACCCAAATGTTTTGATAAAATGGTTTGATAAAATGTTTTGATAAAATGTATATAGCACACCTCTTAAAAAACACTTTGGAATCCTTTTTTTTGTGCAGCCTTTGCCGGTCCCGATTGATATCTTGAAAGATAACTTGGCCAAAAGTGGAAGGTTACAGCTATCCCCCTGGCTTGTGGTATGGCCAAGAGGCATTTTGACGCCACAGCAAATCGTCAAACACCTGGTGCCATGACAAATTCTCACCCAAGCATCAACGCTCATGACCCGCCATGTGTTGTGTTCGAGAACACTCAGATAGAATGCAAGTGGAAAACATAGACCTACTAAAGCTGCCTGCGATCACTAGGAAAGCAGAATGTATAATATGTATATATAATATTTATATATTATTATGGAATTCAAATGGTTGAGTCCAACATGTCCAATTTTTGGTTATAAAATACAACTTTCAGAATGTCCAAATGCCCAGCTATCGGACGTTCCAGCCCCAGCTATGTCCAGCTATCGTCCCGACCTCTTCTTCAGGATTTTCTGGATTGTTAAGAGCGGCGCGCTCCATTTCTGCCCTTAGACCCACATGGGTGTCACACCAAATGGGGTTAGAAAATCTCTGTGGGTCTAGAGGCACCAAAAAAAAATATATCCAAAATGTGGATGGGTAAATCGAACATGTTTAAATCAAATCAATGATTTTTGCAGAAAAAGTGCTGCCTGACAGGTCTGAAAAATCCATCTATATAAATGGGATGTGGTCCTTTCTTAATCGGGATCCGAAAGTCATCCAAATGTCTTGGTTCAGCACAAAGCTGAGATCCGAACTTGATCCTTTCGGCTGCATTTAAACCTTGCCTGAGCGGAAAAGCTGAGCCCGCACCCGAAGTGAGATGATGGGATGGCACTTGTGGTTTGTAATGGTTTGTAACTAGTCCACTCTCAGAAACAAGCATGACACTTGAGCTCTGATTGATTTTGAAACCTTGGGATTATCAGAGAACCCAAGAAGCGCGGCTTGAGAGCCACACGGCCATGTTCGTGGGACTACTTCACGTGATGCCATCCTGCCAAGCAATGAAGAAGTGACAAAAAGAAACAAACAGTGTCTGGGTAGATTATAAATAAGTATAATACGTAATTCACTAACATGAAACAACATTAACCCAGACATCATTAACCATCATTCCAGCGTTCGGTCGCAGTGAGGTCGAAGGCCTCCACACAAGGAGGGTTGCCTGGCGGAGTTCGCACAGAAAGTGCTACCACTTCTGGTGATTGTTGTGAACTGTTTTGCCGGCGGAATGGGAAAGGTGGCTTTGAGAGAATGGTTATTGTTGTTGTCATTGAGTTGTAGTTGTAATTGTCCTTGTACTTCTCCTCCTCCTCCTCCTCATCATCATCATCGTCATCGTGCTCATCATCGTGCTCATCATCGTGCTCATCATCGTGCTCATCATCGTGCTCATCATTGTGCTCATCATCGTGCTCATCATCATCAACATCATCATCATCATCATCATCCTCATCCTCCTCATCACCATCATCATCATCATCATGATCATGATCATGATCATCATCATCATCATCCTCATCCTCATCATCATCATCCTCCTCATCCTCATCCTCATCATCATACATTCTTAGTAGTTGTCATGATGATGGTGATGATGAAATTAACAACTGCCACGGTATAAATGCACAAATCCCCTTTACAGCCGCTGAAGCGAACCATGCCGCCGTCACCGGAGTCACCCCTTCAGGGTCAACTTGGCATCCTTCAACGGCTTGAGCCAACACGGAGAGCCCAAGTGGATGACCATGACTTAGCAAATTCATGGTGACGACTGGGAATCCATTTCAGGAAACCCAGATATGTCAACATCTGGATTCTTGGAAATGCTAAGAGTGGTCAAGAGTGAGCTCACCCCATGCAAAGCTTCTGACGGTCAAACGGCTGCATTTGATGCTGTGATTGCATGCACAAACTTCGGCCAACCATGTTTGCATTCACCGCCAGCGAAGTTGTCAGATGACGCGAAGACTACAAAGCTGTCGGCAGCCAGGCAAGTGCCAAAATCTCCGCCGAGTTTGTCATTTCAAGATGAGTTCGACCAGCATCTTATTCACCACATAGTCATGATAACTGTTTGCATTCCCATCTTTTGATAAGTCCGTACCGTTTGATTCAGAGCTGAGTAAAAGTACCTTAGCCTAAACCAGCTGTGTTGCAAAGGGGTGTTCCTGTTGTTCCCCCTTGTCAGCTCATTAAGTCCTGTTGTTTCACATGATTGCCCCAACTCTTCGTATTACATGTAAACTGTTTCGGTCAGGCTGACCTGCCTTTGGAAGCCAAGGATGTAACACCAGTGTGTTGTTTTTTCTTTCAAATAAATCATAGTCCGTTGCAGTTTTTGCACTGAACAATTTGAAAACAAACCTGTGTCTTGAGGTTGGCCTGCTGCTTTAAACCTCAGTCGGCAGGCTCCACATAGACGTTGAACCAAAAAAACACAACACCTGCACGTAGAGACAACAAGAATAACCACTCTTTTCTACATAAGCCAAATGTTCAATTTCTTTGTCAGGTACTCTTGTCTCACACCAAACCATTTTGCCAAAAGGGCGAAGCAACAAACAGTCAGAAAGCTGCACAAAGACTTTGAAAACATGAGTCTTGTGTTGTACGCACCCATTGCAAGCCAAGCAGCCAAGCGTTCAAACTAGCTCGGGACACCTGCGGCTCAAATTGATTTCAAACTGCCCTGTTCAAACGGGCGAACATGTTTTGTGGTCTGCAGAAACTTCCCCTTCATCACCTTCATCACGGGGAACACCGACTCTGGGCAGTCTTTGGGCCTTTGGGCATTCAGTTTTGCCAACACTTTCTTGTCGCCCAGAAACATCGTGGCTGCTTGTCCCACTTCCCATCTTGGAAAAAAACCAATCAAACCATGGCGTTCAAAAAAAAAAGGCAGCAAGACAAATCATGGAGCAAAATGAAGGGGAATGAGGCGGCAAACCATTCTAATTCTAAGTGTAGCAAAAATGAGGACACTGCTTAATTGTTTACACAATTTTGGGGTGACTAATTTTCAAACAAACCTCAATACAGGTTCATGTATTCGATTGCTGAACTTTGAATGCTTCCGATTTTGGGTCATGTCACGAGCTTGTCACTTTCAAGACTTTGAGCGACTATGCACTGAAGGCAAACACCACTTTTCACGATCCTTACATGACTGAACATTTGGTATCCTCGATGATGGATGTCGATACTTGGATCTTGTTTGATTCAGGAGCTGCAGCCTTTTCTTCCAATTTCGGGGATACCACGACCACTCAAATCGATTTCTGGTCAACCCTTGAATGTTTATGGTCGAAAACTTGTTGAGTTGAAATTGATGGTATTTCAACTTTGGCTACAATTCTATATCTGTGATGTTCCTTGCAGTGTTCTTTCAGTGCCACGACGCTTGTTGCAAGGGTACCAGGTTGAACCTGGAAGGCAAAATTGCTCTATGACTTCACCTGTTGGGCAAAGAATGACAGTAACTAAGCATGGCTCACTTCTGTTCATTTGTCCAGCAACCCCGAAACTTGTCATTCTTACTATTCTCAGGGTGGTAAGGATGACATTGTTGTTGCACCACTTCCTGTGGCATTCGAAGTTCCACCTTTTTGTCACATCTCTGCAAATGATCGGCAAACAGTTCTTTCTATAGAGACGAGAAGCAAACGATGTATGGAACATTTGGTTTGGGTTCAAACAGCTAGAAAAGCGCAAAGCACCTGACAGACATTTCAGAGAATACTTCATTCACCCTTTCGCCTGCCAAACCCATACATGTCTGACAATTAAGGAAACACTTTGGTGAGGTACCAGGCGGTGGCGGTCGCGGCGGCGGTGGTGGTGAAAGGCATAGATTTTGGCTGGAGGAAAACAGCTGGAGGGGGCGCAGCGCCTGCCCCAAGAAGAGCTTTGTTGTTGACAGGTTAGCGCCTCCCCCCACAAGAGTTTTTTTGTGACAAGGCTGCTCAATACTTGCGATGACTCAGACGTGCGCACTCAAGCCTTCCAACCCTGATGCACACAGACATTCACAAAGTCTCGCAATATCCGACTCCTAGCTCTGACTGCTTCTTCTCCTTGTGCCCTGACAGGTAATTATCATCTCTTCTCGAGACCTTGCACTTCGTATCACTTCGTAAGCCTCGACCGGATTGTTGCAACTTGCCTCTAGAGATGCAATTTGCCGTACTTGCCATGACTCATATGTGCATTCCCAAGCCTTCCCACCCTGAGGCAGAGGGGGGTTGGAAAAAAGTGGCGAGGGGTGAAAAAAACAGGCGTTGGGGTGAAAAACAAATGGTCCGGGGGTTAAAACCAAAGGGTTCTCGGGGGTTAAAAAGAAAAGTTTGGGGGAAAGGTGGGAAAAAAGGGCAGGGTTTAAACAAACGTTTTTTTTTAGGGGAACCCGACAACAAACAGCCACTTCTTCATTGAAAGCCATGACCGCCAGTGACAAGGCTGCAACCCAAGGCCCCTGACCGGCACTCTTCAACCCAATTGCCCATCCCGGCCAACGCAAAAACCCCGGAAAACGCTTAAAGAGACATAGCTACGGAGAGGTTGGGGTAGCGCACTATGACAACCGATTTCAGAATTATGGGCCAATAATTCTGGGTTCTGAAAACAGCCTTGCGCTATCTTGAATATACAACTATAGAATATACAGTAGATGAACCAAAAAAACGTCCCGGCTCTGGTCTATGTCAAGCAGAACGATTTGGGGTAGACGTTTAGACGCTGGCCTCATCCCTTCAAGTTTAAAAGGGCGGTGAGCA